TTATACTGCATTTCTCCACAAGATGATCCGTTCCTTACGTTCTTGGTAACTTCTTGGAAATCAACTGATTATGAAGCATAACCATTTCAGACTAGACAGTATTACATGCAACATTTTATTGTAAAAATATTTTGAGATTTACAGTTCAGACCTCTGCAAGGTTAATTTTACAAGTATGTTCCATTCTAAGTGTAGCTGTACTTTCAAGAATTCAGGCAACCAAATCTGGTCTAACTGTAGATTTAGAAATTCTGTTACTGGAACCATTAAGTAAAACAAACAAATGCAGCAAAAGCTAGAATAAAGCTATTGCTTAGTACTTTCATTCACAGACATGCAGAAGAGTGTAGTCAGTTTTGAAAGAGCACTGTAGACATCTAGGCCTATAGTAACCAGAAAATACTCTAACTAATGATAATTGAACAACTCTGCACAATAAATGTTTAATCATTTAATGGCTGGACACTTTTATGAATGATCATCTAGGTCCTTCTGCTTCATCGGTGCACTCTATCTTCTCCATAGTGGCAGCTCATTTTGCTCCTGCCTGCAGAGACTTCCTTTCATTAGCTGCTTTTTGCTTTTGCTGCATAATTTCAGAGTCCCTGTGAAGAAAAAACAGCTGCATATCAGATACTGGCTCACAGTTTTTCTAAGCAGAGCTCCCTCCCTTTAGTAACTCCCACCTGAAAAAGGAAAAAATAATTTCTCAGTAAGCCACAAGCAGAGTGTTTTATTACCCTGTTTTTTTCAGTGCATGCGTTACTCCATGAGGCAGACAATTCACTGGATTAGTACACCTCAAATAATTCTTTTGGTTTTAGAATCAAACATCTTGAAGAAAGCATTACACAATCTTTTCCTGTTTGCAGTAGGCAAAAATCTGGTCACAAAAATTAAAAAGCATTACAGAGCATAATAAAAATACATCTTTTTAACAGCAGAGACAGCAAAATTTAATCATCAGTTTATGCTCTGGCAAGTGATTGGCCAATGAATAAAACACAGTATTTAAATGTTATGTTAGCTAAGACACTGGATTCTTTCTGACCCATCTGCCTCTCTTTTTCAGCCTAAACATTTACTAAACTTTACTAGATCTTACCTCTGTTTCCTCTGAGAAGCAGACAAGCTATCTTCTTTCCTTTTGCCTTTGTGGATCTCCTGAGTTTTCTTCAGGTTCTTTTGGCGAGCAAGTTCACGCTGGTTCCCACCTGCAAGATAATAAACAGTTAAACAAGTACTACCACTTGTTTTTTCCTCACACAGTGTACCTGTGTAAAAGTCTGTTATAAAGGCAGTACTGTTTGGCACAATGTGTAGAGCTGGTATGGTCATACCTGCTATCTCAGTGTACAACAGGAGAAATTAAAGGCTCATAGTTGTTACTTTTTTAATTCTATACGTCATGTTCAAGAGATTACCAAAATTCTAATATTCCTTACAGAAACAAAATATAGTTTGCCACAAAAGGCTGAAGGAAAACCATCACACCAATAGGCTGGGCAAAATCATGTCAGTAACTCATCCAAAGACAAGCCATCCACTCTTCAAACACATTCCAGCATTCGACATAGCTTACAAATTAATTTTAGACAGAAATAACAGCACTGAAATTGACAGCACTCAAAGACTATTCAAGAGATGACCTCAAAAGGTTTTTTAAATTTGAAATAAAGTGCAGAATGTAAGCCTGGGCCTTAGCAACTGGGTGGCATTATTTCAACAAACGTGAGAAGAGTAACATTACTTCTGTATGTATATAAAGACACAAACACCCATCACTGCCAGTAGAGAGGACACTTCAGGGAAAAGACAGCTTTCCCCATGACTACCAACAAGATACGAATGCAATCTCTTTGATCACACAAAGTTCCTGAGGGCACAATATCAAAATTATCTGTCTGAATACTCAGGGTCTTCCAGGCAATGGCCAAAGACTGAAAGATCTTCTGCATTAGCTGGCAATCTCTCCTCAGTATTCTCTTCCTTAGTTCTATTTTGCTCCAACCTGCCAGACCTGGTTCACTGGCTTGGTACTTCTTGCTCTACTTCTTTTGGACTGACAGTGTTCCAGATATGCTATGCATAATCATTTGTCCTGTTGAACTAACACGATCTTTTATACTCAAAAATGACAATTCCACCTCTCCATAATTTCTGTTGTCTCCCTTTTCAGTCTCTCTCCATTATTAAGACTGTCTATGCCATCTTTCAGTCTCAAAGCCAGATATCTCAATCTTGAGGTGCCTGTAATTTCTGGTCTACAAAAGCATCTTAGGACTAGGTCACTTTTAAACAACAACCTGCTGGTATGATCCACCACTTTGTACCCACACCATTTCTGAGCACACAAAGGTACCTGCCATGTCAACAAGTAGGCAAGATCAACCCTGCAGAAGCAGGGGTTTGTGCATTCTTCACAACAGCCGATGGGCTGCCTGGTAAGAGATGCCAGAAGCTCAAGTGAAAACAGCCCTGTATGACTGCCGCTTCCCAAGAACCACTCTTGTCTTGGAAGATAACTTTTGTCTGTGACAGGACATAAGTACTACCTTTTGGAAAAGCTAAGAGAACTCTACTCATCATCCTCACTAGCATCCTGTCCCCAAAGTCCATCTAGAAAAAGGGCAGCTGTTTGTTCAGAGACTGAAGCAAACCAGCTGTCTCTGGCAGTACTAGTGTTGATTAGAACTTGATGACTCATGAGCAGATGACACATTCCAGGCCATAAATGGTTCCTGAGTTTTCTGGTACTCAGGAGGCCAGAACGTTATATGAAGGACTGAGCAGCAATGAAAGAGCTCTTCTACTGTGCTTAAAAAAAACCGAAACAAAACAAAAAAAACCCACCAAAAACCAGAAGTCTCTTCTTTTATCATGAAGAAAACACAGAGGAAGGAAAAACGATCTGCTAAAGCCAGAATTACCCTCCACCCCAAACCTCAGGCACTTCCTTATGAGCAGTTACTCTCCACCCTTAAATTCCGGTTCTTCCTTGTTTTCCAAGCAGACTCTGCAGACACGGGCTCTGCAGAGTTTTTCCATAGACACGGTAAGGTTTTAAAATTAGGAACAGAACTCAACTGTATCACTGAAAAGCAGCTGGCACAACAAAGCAGAGAAGATAGAAAAGCTGAGCAATACAGAATGCACACAAAGCATAGAATACCAAACAACTCTCTGGAGTAAAACTTACTTCTACCATCAGTGCTTCCACATAAACATTGCCAAGGACTATTTGGTCCCATTACATCCTCTAGGATGCTGAATAAGTGTCCCTACCATCAAGGGAATCACTGGTGTTTTCTTCATTCTGTAATATCAACCTAAATCTTCCATGAAATTGTTCCAACAGAAGACAATTCAGCTTCCTGAAATTCAAGCATGAACTACCACAAAAAGAGCAGTACACTCCTGCTCATACACCTTTATACATTCCTCCTCAAGCAACACCATCCTGGCCTGCTTATGCAAGACATACACCTCATTTCGACTTGTCTTTGCTCTTTCAACTCCAGGAGAAGAAAAACGCCAACAAAAATCCTAAATGCGCTTCTTTATTATGTTCTGTGCACAAACTGTTTACATTCCAGGTCTTCAGCCGCACTTCAGCAGCTGTGTGCTCTCAGAACTGTATTTTCCAGATGAATGTAAAAGCACAGCCTCAAAACTGTGTTTTTTCGAGTGAATGTGAAAGCACGAGCTCAATTAAACACAAGGAGTTTCTGTACTGCCCGACATAGCAGGCAGAAGGCACAGGAGCCCTCCCAGCAGTCGGGAGCCGGAGCATCCTGGGTCCGGTTCACAGTTCTCCGCCATTTTAGAGCGGGTGTACGAACACTGCTGCTCGCCAGCACTGAACACAGTGACGATTTACAGAGTGCTCCTGCCCTTTCAACAACAGCCTCAAAAACCTCAGCTTAAACAGCAGAGTATCCAATGTTTAGCATATATAATAGACTGATATAAAAGTCCTTTATTTTCAGTCTTGGTGGCAGCCGGGACTGAAATGAAGGGTGGCTGTTGTTTCAGTCCATCATCACCTTAATTCCTGCCCCCGGTCCCGCCACCACTGATACGCCAGAAGGCGGAGGAGGATGTTTTCGCCTCCAGCTTCGGACGGCGGCAGAACGTGGGTAAAAGCCTACTCCCCATGCACTCACTATAGGCGAGATTTCGCTGGTGGGACGCCAAGTCCGCAAAGAGCCGGACGCGACCTCACACAGCGGCCGACTCTCAGACCCCGGCCCAGGCATCTCCCCCAGCCAGACTGCCCTCGGCGTCGCGCTCATGCCTGGAGCCGACCAGGAGATCGGCCCAAGTCCCACCGCCCACTTCACGACCCGACAGGCCCCAAGCAGCCCCCAGTACTCACGGGTCATGGCGAGATGATCAGGCCGCGAAGCACTACTACGGCTCGCACCGCTACCGCTAACCACTTGCCTACAACTACCAGCCGCCGCTGCCACCGCCGGAACCGTCTGAGGTGCCGCCTGCTGCCGTTGCCCCTTATGGCACCTCGCTGATCGCTGACGTCACGGCGCCGCGCGGACTTGGCCCAATCAACGCGCGCCGCTGCCTCCCACTCCGTGGGCGGGAGCCCTGCGAGATTGGTGCCGTGCGTCCCCCTGGGCTCGGGGGTGAGGGTTTGGTGTAGTAGCCTGGGCTCGGGGGTGAGGGTTTGGTGTAGTAGCCTGGGCTCGGAGACAAAGCGAGCGCCTGGAGAGTTGCTGAGAGCCGGCTGAGGAGCTGCCGGGGCCTTACAGGCGGCTACGGCGCCGTTATTGGTTGCCCCGTAGAGGTTCCGCCTCCTGCCGCTCCTCTCCTGGTCGGCGCACGCTGATGACGTCGCGGGGCGCGCCGCCGGGGCGGCACGCCGTGAGCCGGCCGGGCTCGCGGCATCAGCGGGCGCACGCCGCCGCGCGCTGCTGACGCCGCCGAGTTCGCGCCTGTCCCGGGAGCGCCTGGCGCGCGCCTCTCCCGGCGCCGCCGCCGCCATGTTCCGGCGGGCCCGTCTCACCGTGCGACCCAATGTGCGGCCCCCGGGCAGGGCCGCCGCCGCCGGCGCTGGCGGGGTGGACCCGGAGCCGCCGGAACCCCCAGGTTCGGACACCCCGGCGGCGGACGGAGCAGGGACCGCGGCGGAATCGGCGGACGCGCGGCGGGCAGAGAGGTGAGTCCCGCCGAACTTCCCCTGGCGCTGTGTCGGGCCGCCGGGGACACTGGGCCGCGGATCCCCGGGAGCGGGACGGGGCTGTGCGGGGCAGGAACCCGGCGGATCCCGGGAGGTTGCAGTGGCTCTGCGTAGCGCTGCGTGCCGTGGCCCGTCACCGTCTGGTTGTCAGTGCTGTGAAAGGGCGCTGGCTCGTCCTGCAGACCTCGTGGAAAACGTGTGCGGTCGGTGCCCGGTGACTCCGTGTCCAGGGTTGTCAGACAAGGACTTGGGGGTGTTCGCAGCGAAGATGAACCCGCGTTTCTTCACTGCCCTTGTGCAGCAGGTCCTGGAATAACATTACAATTGGCTGCCCCGGGAGGTGTTGGAGTGGTGACTTCCTTGGAGGTGGTTAAGGAAAGATTGGACGTAGCATTTAGTGCTGTGGTCTGGTTGACAAGGTGGTGTTGGGTCATAGGTTGGACTCGACGATCTCGAGGTGTTTTCCAGCCCAGTTGCTCCTATGATTCTGTAAGTGAAGACTGCAAAGGAGGGGCCCAGTGTGGTCCGACACTCATTATTTCTGACTCCACGGCAGCCAGTAGCTCTGGTTTGTTGTGTGCTGAAAAAATTATTTGTGCTCTGTAACCAGATGATTTTGATTTTGTATTCCTACAGCATTTGCTGTTTTATGTTCATTTCTTTATGCACTGGCAAGGGAGGACTTTCTCCTTTTTGTGGGCTTTATTGTCTATTTTTTAAGTTCTTAAAGGGCTTTTTATTGTGATGGAAGCACATGGTAAAGTTGGCCTTAGTACTGGCCCTCCCTGAGGACCTCCCTGTTGTAAGTTAAGCCTGGCTGGTTGCTAAACCCCACCCAGTTTCTTGCTTGCTTCCCCACACCCCTGCCCTTCCCAGCCTTGTGAGATGGACAGAAAATGAAAACGGCAAAAGTGTGAGAAAAGATGTGTCAAGATAAAGACAGTTCAGTAGATCCTGTGCACATAAGTAAAGCAGAATTGGGGATTCATTCAGCACTACCTGCAGGTGCTTTATTGTCTCCAGGAAGAAAGGGATCAATCACTCATAACAGGTACTTGGGAAGACAAACGCCATAACTCCAAATATCCTTTCTTTCTTCTTCCCCTGGGTTTTATTGAGGAGCACAATGTCACATGGTGTGGGGTAGCCCTTCCATCTTCTGAGATCAGCTGTCCTGGCTGCGTCCCCTCCCAGCTTCTTGCTGATCCCCAGTGGTCAGCCACGGTGAACTGTGAGCAACAACCCTGTTGCTGCACAATCATTGCTCAGCATTAGCTGAAAAGAGGGTGTGCTGTCAGTGCTCTTGTGTCACAATTCTGAAACAGCACCATGTGAGCTACTGTGAAGGAAGTTAACTCTGTCCCCACCAAAGGCAGTACAGATCACTGTTTCAGGACATCCTCAGTCTGATAATTGTTCTTCAGAGCAACATTCACACTTCTTTTGTACAGCTGGGTTTGAGTCTTTCATAAATACCTTTATTCTTTCAGTTGAAGCTTGCCCCTTATGACAGCATGATGAAACAGTGTTAGTGTCTTCTGTTTCAGTGGCTGGAAATTCAGGTATCAGACTAGTTGGCGTGGCATATCTTTAGGAAACCCATACTGCCTTTTATTCAACTTGTGTCTTACATCTTTACTTGTTTCACATTGTGCTTCAGGATGTAATTTTTATGTTACAGCAATCACCTTACTGGATCCTTGGCTATCTGTTGGGTTTTTTTTTTTTTTTAATGAAGAAATTTTTACCATTTTTCGCTTAGAGGCTATTGTTAGTGTTTCAGGAGATTTGTAAAAGACTTTTGTGTTTGTAATTTAACAGGTGCATCAGTGTAATATAATTTTAAGTTTCAAAACTAGATACTGGTGTGACTCTGAAAAGCACTCCAGTCTGTTCTTATGGCCTAAAAACAGGCCTTTGCCATATAGCCTTCTGACAGGGTAGCCCACCTAGCTGACCAGGAAGCCAGTTCATGAAAACTTCTTGGACCTCAGTAGAGCTTTCCATACTGGCTCTCACACTATCCTTCCTTCTGGACAAAACATCTAGCACACACCTGGATGAACATATCATGTGATGGATGGGTGAGCAACTGGCTCATGGGTTGGGTTACAGTGAATGGGGCGACATCAGACTGGTGACCTGTCACTGGTTGGGTTGCACAGGGCTCCATCTCAGCCCTGAGCTCCTCAACAGCTTCACAAATGACCTGGACACAGATTTCAAAGGTATATTAAGTGAGTTTGCCCATGATACAAAATGCACATGATACCTGTTGACTCTCTTGAGGACAGGGAGGCCCTGCAGAGAGACCTCAGCAAATTGGAGGGCTGGGCAAACACCAGGCATATGAAGTTCAAAAAGGGAAAGTGCCAGATTCTGCACCTGGGGTGGGGCAGCTCTGAGTGTATGGACAGATCGGGGAACAAGAGACTGGAGGAAAATGACCTGAGGGTCCTGGTCAGTGGCAAGTTGAACTCGAGTCAGCAGTGCCCTGGCAGGCAGGAGAGTCACCCGTGTGCTGGGGTGCAGCAGGCACAGCATCACAGCCAGGCGAGGGAGGGGACTGTCCTGCTCTGCTCTGGGGCAGCCTCACCTCAAGTGCTGGGGGCTGTTCAGGGTGCCACGGTATAAGAAAGACATTGAGCTGTTAGAGGGCATCCAAGGGGGGGGCAACAAAGATGGTGAGGCCTTGAGGGGAAGCTGGATGAGGAGTGGTGAGGTCACTTGTTCTGTTCAGCCTGGAGGAGACTGAGGGGAGACCTCATTGCAATCTACAGCTTCTTCATGAGGGAAAGTGGAGGGGCAGACACTTAACTCTTCATTCACAGGTGCTCAAGTCTGTGTCTGTAGCATCAGTCACTTTACATAGTTTTGTTTTCTATATACTGAATAAGTTTTGTTAAATATCAGGGAAATTAAAATTCTGTAAGAGAATTCTAATTTTTTGATATACTTTCTGTTAGATTTTATTTAACTGTTCAGAAATCCAGTGCTGCACTCCAGTTAAAAACTCCACGTAACATAGATGGTGTGGAGAAGGTGAATGAAGAATTACTTTCCAATGTCTTTGCTGTACAAAGAACAGTGGATGTTGAGTGGAACTTGCAAGATCTCATTCAAAACACCTAAATAGGCACCATGTAAGAAGCCCTCTAAACTCTTTGCCCAAGGATTTTCTGTACTAAAAATGTGTATGAACTCACAGTGTGGGACAAATTGATTCAACCATTTAACAGAGACTGCTAAATGCAAACAGATAATCTGCAGCATATACCTGAATCATCGAAAGTAGCTGGAGAGAATTTTGAAAAGTTTGACTGTGTGTTTATACTTTTTTATATTTCTTGGAAAACATTTACTTCTGACCACCATTTTTAAAATGTGTAAGTGAACCATGGTTGTCCTTACTTACAGAACCAAGGCATAGTTCCAACATAAAATTAAAAAAACTCTCTTTATGACTCAGTTGTAATTATACTGCAGTCTTACTATGAGCAACAGCCATGAAGCTGAACACTGGTGGAGTCAGCAGATTTGGGATGATCATAATGGTTGGCAGTTTTACTTGCACTTTGAAAATCATTTCTATATAAGTGATAGAAAAAGTACTTACATACCAAGTTTTCCAGGGTAGCTAAGAGCTATTAATGTGTTAAGTGTGAGCAGCAGTTTGACTGCTGAAGATTTTGTGGAAGTCACAGGTTACGTATCATCTACTTGCAAATGTGTGAGAGGAATGTTCACTTTTGTTGTAATAAAAGTCATCAAACCACTGTTACATACAGCTTTGTTTCTAATATATCACCTATGTTATGTAAATATTTTTTTATGTAATTTTTAGAAAGCTTTATGGTACTGATATTTTCAGCTGAAAGGAGAGAGCCTTCCAGAAAAAGAGGTGGGGTGTGAGAATGTGTTACTATTGCAAGCTTGTACATCAGTGATTAGTATTAGAAAATAATGTCAGCTCCTAGAGCTGATTATTTGATGAGGAAGTACCAGCTACATGTTGGTCCTAGCATGGCTTCTTGTGTATAGCTGCTTTCCTGTAGCCTAATGTTTATACTGGTTGCCCCATAAACACATCTTGAAAGTAAGAGCAACAAATCTATCACTGTAAAGAACTTCAGAATACTTTCTTAAATTTTCCAGTGATGACAAGGTGGACAATACAAGTGGCACTGCGGAAGCTAGTAACCCTGCAGAGATGCTTACACAGAGAAGAAAACGTATCTCCACCATGCCAAATCTTGTCAAACCCAGAGCTGGACCGTCATCTACTCAGCGTTCTGCAACAAAACCACAGAGGCGAACATCACAAGCTTCTGATGGCAGTGCTTCACTTCAGAAGGATGCCTCCCCATCAGAAAAGAGTAATGTTGAAAGCTCTGTAAAGTCCCCTATGCTTCCTGAGAAGAAAACACCTGTGCCACAAGTGCCACAGTTTTCACCGCTAAAAAAGTCTGCAAACAAAGAGCAAACTGTTGGTGTAGCTGCTCAGAAAAATGATGATAGCTTGCAGAAGAATGTACCCTCTCCTCTCAAGGAGAGACCAACACAGGAAAGATCAAGAGCACAGGAGGAAAAGCTACCTGTGAAACCTTCTCCTGAGAAAGTCAGACGAACATGTTCTGACCGCGAAAGGATCCTCAAAGCTCGGAAATTAAGAGAAATGCTTAAAGAAGAGCTGAAGAAAGAGCGGATGGTAAGGCCTGTGTTGAGCAGTGCTTATCTGTGGAGGGCAGGACGTTTGATTCACCCTGCATGCATTATCTCTTTGCAGTAGTGTTTTCTCATGATTGTCAGCTGCTCACTGCTAGTTGTCTGTCACACCTCATAACTCTCTGTGTATTTATTCTGTTTATAAGCAGTAACAGCGCTTTGTTCTCTAATAATACAGATTTTACAAAGAATTGCCTAAGTTTTTCTTTGATTAGACCACAAGTCTTTTTGGCATGACACCTGTTTTTTTGTAGTCAACATCCCAATTTTGAGAGTTTCACAATACAGCAGGGGAAGTGTGCTGCAAGCAGGATGGATTTGGGATATTTTTTCAAACTGGTCATTGTCAGAGTTCTGTAATGTTGAATAACTTTTAACTTATTTGTGCCAGGTATTGAATGCTTCTGAAAGAATAAGTGGCTTAAGGGTCTGTAATGCCCTCGCTGAGAAAGGGACACTTTTAAGATAATCTTGTTTTGGTTCTTGGGAGTGGTGTGTGTGTGTGTGTGTGAACAACAAAATTCCATGAATGGGGTACTTCAAAAATAAACAAAAATAATAATAATTTGTGAACTATAAAATATTTTCAGGGTGAATCTAAGTGCTTTTTGGGTTTTTTTGTTTCATTTTGATTTGTGTGGAAGAAGTTGAAACACAGGCCCCCAGTAATTGAAGGACGTTCTCCACCAGATCGTTCTAAAATGACCATGAGAGACTTAATATACTATCTGCCAGAAAACAATCCTATGAAGTAAGTATGACTTTTTGTCTCTCTCCTTAGGTTAAGTTACTTTTCAACCTCTATAATACTTAAATATGGAGTATTGGCACAGATACAGAGTTGTTGCAGTGGTAACAAAGGCTTCTAGACTAGCTTCTAGTTTTCACATCTGCTTAATTCTAGTGCAGAAGTGAGAATGGAGCTTAGTATACTTGTTGAAACACACAAACATGTATCTGTCCCCAGTGTTCATTTATCTCTGCAGAAATACAGACTAGTAGAATTTTTTTTTTCCAACTCCCTGCTGTGAAATTTTTAGTTGTGGCTCTTAGAGATAATTGCCCACCAGACCCAGTGGAATTAGGAAGCTAAGTATTTCTCCTCCTAGGTGCTGAAGTGCAAAATGCACTGCAAGACCCTAGTGGTGTTTACCGTGGATGAATGTAGTTGCTGCTGCTTCACTGATATGTTTCACTAATGCAGCTGGCTGTACAGACTGCCACAAATGGAGCAAAGCAGGGCCTTTTTCCTGCAACTGCCAAAAGCAATCACATGAATAGAAGTTCAGTTATCTAAGTCCTGTTCTTTCACTAGTAGATGAATTTTCTGTTATCATCTGTTATCACTCGCTTCTTAAGATTTGTGTGTTTGTGTGTTTTATTTATCACTTCCCTTATTTTTTCTTTTACACTGAATAGTCCCCTAGGGGTAAAAAGCAAGGTGCTTTCATGTTACCTGTATCCATACAATGGATTTCTGCTTGAAGTATCTTTTTTTGTCCTTGCTTGTACAAAAAAGGGCAAAATTTACTAAGCAGAGGTTGTTTGTAGTTCAATGTAGATGTGATACAAAGAGCTGAAAAAAAAGCTTTGTGTTTCTTTGTCCATTGTGCACTAAAATCCAGTTTCCTGGAAGAAAGCAGAAATATATCTGTACAAACAATAATCTCTAGCTTTTTATGACATTCTAGGTCTTCATTGGTAGAAGAAAAGAGAACAGAGAGAAGTTCTGCACTGAGTCAAATGAAAGAGTAAGTCTTGATAGTGAAGTATAGTTGGAAAGTTTTCTGGTGTAAAAAACCCTGCATTTCTGTGATAATGCTAAAAGTGGAGGTATATTTTTTACTGTTCAAATATCACTGTCTAATTTATAAAAATTGCAATTTTGGCTGGTATTGTGGTTAAAGAACATTTTGCTTTCAACCTTAAGTTTTACATATTTCCATTTGCGGTAGAATAAAAAGCAGGTTTCAAAGTTCACATATTGACTTATTTATTGATGTGTTGCATTGCTGGGTGGTTCATCAAATTGTTGAATGTCTGTTGAATGAGCAGCAATTCAAAACACTGAATAGTATTTTTGTGTGCTGTCTTAAAAATTGTAGACAGGAAGAGAAAAGTACTCATCATGAAGAAGAGGAGGAGGAGGAAGAAGAGAATGGGGAAGAGAGTCAGGATGGCCCACTTCTCGTTCCTCGTGTGAAAGTAGCAGAAGATGGTTCCATCATTCTGGATGAAGAAAGGTGACAAATTCTGTGCCTGACTCATGGACAGTATTGCATTGCAGCTCAGTTTGCAAATAGAGGACTACTTTGGACGGGGATGAGAATGAGCGTATTTATGTTTGAGAGTTGAGCTACACTGACATAGGAAACAGTGCAAAGATGTGGCAAAATACGAACAGCAGTCGTCTGCATCTTTGTAGTGGCATACTTTATGAGAAATATTTTTGGGGAAAGAGGTAGAGAGGAAGGTGACATATTTTATTACTGTGAATGAACACTGAAGATTTGTCAGACTTCCAGATGTCTTCTTCTGTTTTGCTGACTTTTTTGCTTCTCATAGTTAACATGTATCTGCTTACTGTTATTTGGTTATCAGTATGATTTGCTCCAGCTTTGCATCTTGCCTGTTGCTGCTTTATTCTTCTGTCAGTGTTTTCAGTAACTTTGCTTATAATATGATGTTTAAAAAGTAGATTATCAAATTTCTGAGTTCCCCAAAGGTATTAACATGAAATTTATGCCAAGGTTTAAGGATAAAGGTGGCCTGGTAAAATAATTTGAAAGTATTGAAGAAGGATATTGAGAGGTTGTCATGGTTTTACAAAATAGCTTTCTCAAATGTTAAAAAGTCCTTTTTTTTTTTTTTTTGAAGCTACTTAATTATTTCTGTCTGTATTACATATGTATATATATTATTTATATTATATATAAAACAGAGAAAGCAAATTTACTTACAGAGGGGGAATAGGGTCGTGTTTTCTTACTGCATTCTCCCATTAAAGTACTTGTTAGTGTAATAATTAAAATTACTACACAATAGACATGCTCACTTGTGGAAAAAAAATTGAATAGCTGTCTTATAAACATCTATATTTTTTCTTAGTAATATTTTGAGGTGAGTCTTTCTTGTGTGTTTTGTTTCCCAGCTTAACTGTAGAAGTTCTAAGAACAAAAGGTCCATGTGTTGTTGAAGAAAATGATCCCATCTTTGAGCGTGGCTCTACAACTACATATTCTAGCTTCAGGAAAAGTTTTTACACGAAGCCATGGTCAAATAAAGGTGAATGTATTTTTGGTTTCAAGCTTTGAGTCCACAGAAAAGTTATTGTTTTCACGTATGCTTTATACTTGACAGTTTTCATTCCCAGTGGAGTAAATGGATCTACTTACATGTTATCTCATGTAATCTCAACCCTCCACACTCTTACAACAGGCAGAGCTGGGGTATTTACTGTGAAAACTGTCATTTTTAAAAAATCCAGTGCCTTTTAATGTGCAGACTGCCTGTACTTTTTTTCTGCCATGGATGTTTAGATGCTGAGAAAATGCTAGTCTGCTTTACCAAGAGCATAATTTTGATTCTGGTTTACAGATATTTGAGTTCTATATGGTACTTAAGTAGGTTCTTCCCTCATGGGCAGGAGTAGATTGTATAAGGTATTTCTGTGTGGACTGGTTTCAATGCAAGTGGACAGCTGTGTTCTTATGAGTGGGTAGGTTGGGTTCTTCATTACTCCTGTTGTGAATTGACTCTTATCTCTAGGTTTACAACACTGTACAAGACTTTTTACAATTGGAAATTACTTTTTACTGCTATGGATGGAAAAATTGGCTTCAGAATTCACTGTGGTCTCTTTAGAATGCACTCTTTTCCTTTTGATAATGGAGAGGGTAAATTTACATTATGATTTTCTGATTTCTGTTTGTGCTTATGTTCATAATAAAAATGGATATGGACAGTTTGAGGTTGGTTAGCTTTGATTTACTAGCTTTAGAAAGCACACTTCACATTCGGCAGTTTTCTAATAGTTTAGACAATTCTTTCTGTTGATAGTTCATCCAGCAAATGTTATTAGAGGGACCTAGGTAAAATAACAAACATGTTCCATACTCACCTGGACTTGCAGCTACAGTAGACAACCTCAAAGTTACTGATCTTATGAAATTAAGTTTACAAGTTGTTTTTATTTTTGAAGAAGGATGGTTTAGTAAATATTTAAATGTATGTAATTTTGTCTTTCTTTTCCCTTACAGAAACAGACATGTTCTTTTTAGCTATCAGTATGGTAGGAACAGACTTCTCCTTGATTGGGCGGCTGTTTCCTCACAGAGCCAGAGCAGAAATTAAGGTAAAAATTAAAGCACTCAATAAAGAAATTAAACATGTGATTTTACTTTTCTTTTTCTTGTTTGCATTCCCATGCTTCTTCTACTAGTGTTGATAATTTTGGTGTGAATTTTCTTGACTGTAGTGCTTGTTTTCTGATACCTGTTTCAAGAGGTTGTATCTGAAACATTAGAATGCTAGTTGAATTTCAATGACTGTATGTAGTAAATGTAGCATCCTTAAACGTACTTTGTTTTAGTTAAAGAGTACTGATAGGCCATTTAGACTGTTTGGTGAGGGCCTTCTGTGTTATCTTTTTTGTTGTACACAGCTGGGAAAGTCTTTGGTATTTCAGACCTTGCTCAGATTAAATGGCAGGAAAAGGTGTAGAAAATAATAAAAAAAGTATTGCTGGTGATAAGCTGTGGTAACAAATTTTATATTTAAAAATTAGTTACAAACTTGTGTTCTGCGGATAGGCATGTGAATTTCAACAACTGTAGTTGGTATGTTGCACTGAAGGCATAGCTTGAGCTGCCATTTTGTGCAACATATTGTTGCATTTCTTGCCTAAGATAAACACAGCTGTGCATTTGCTTTTAGAACAAGTTCAAACGTGAGGAAAAAGCTAATGGATGGAGAATAGACAAAGCTTTCAGTAAGTAAATATTCCCTACCCTACAATGAATCATTAAATGGTAGCCCATCTATTTTGATGGTATTTTCTCTGCTTTGCCTTGTTTGAATTACTTAGAAGAAAGTTTTTGCTCATAGATGAATACAGAGGCTGTGGCATCTTAGGTTTCATTATAAGTATAGTTCACAACAATGATCTTTAGGCTTATTTTCTATTTTTTCTGGATGTCTGGTAAATGAGATTAATATAAACTTTCTCTATATTCAGTTGAAGATAATTCTTTTTATTCATGGGAATTTCTAGCACATTTATTTATTGTGAACTGCTTTGAGACTCCTTAAAGACTTTCTTTGTTAGTTGAATGAGGTACGTATGTTCTACAGCAGTATGTTCATACATTATTTGATACTATGGTATAGTTAATGTATTTGTCAGTCTTTACATTTTTTGAACTACTTAGTTTATAACTTGTGTTTTAAAGCCAAGGTACCATATTCCAGTCAACTTTATGTCACCTTCAGCCCCTGCTCAAGTGATATATAAAATACTTTCAAGAACTCTGTTTAAATGTATCTGACCTTTGCTTTTTAATATTATGTCATGTATCACTGATTATTTTACAAAGATGAAACTTGAAAAACTAATCAGCTTTGAAATCTGTTCTGTTTTTTGCTTTAATCTGATAGAAGAAAAACGACCCTTTGATTTTGAATTCTTTGCCCAGCTGCTTGAGAAGGTCTTAGCAGATGACGGAAAGAGGAAGCAAAAGACTGTTAAAAGCCAAAAGCCAAAAGAAAAAAAGTCTCCAAGGCCACAAAAGAAGTCAAAAGGTATTTTAAAAGAGTGTTTGAGATGACATTACAGAGCAGTGATCAGTAATATGTTGCTAGCAGAGGAGAAATCATGTAGGGCATCACATATTCCTTCCCTATTGTAGACAGGACAAGAAGATTTTAGCTTCATAGTGGAACTTTTTCAGATGTAGTTTACTGATGTACAGGATGGTAATAATTAGTAACAGAGCAGAAACATGATACCATGGTGAAAATGGTGCTGTTCCACCATCCGAAGTGCTGATATTCTAATTTACTGAGTGGTACATATCTCCATGAGTTGCTAATGAATTCACTTCTAGAATTTTTTGGGCCAAAATCATATTTTTGGCAAACTCGTCTGTGTTGAAAGTTTTCTTGCATTTAAAAGCCTCTTCTTTTAAGGGTTCTGTTTCTCTTTTGATAGTAGTTGAACTTTCTGAGTCTGAGCAGTATGATTATTTTCAGAGAATGATGTGAAAGTTGTTTTATCTTTCTGGTTTGTTCAAAATAAAGATTACATTTAATTACTGTTGATCACCACTGTGTTTTTCTACCTCAGTACCTGGGAAAGGACCTTTGACAGATGTGCTTTAATTAAATATTGATACAGTTTCATACATTTTTTGCTGATTTTGTGGCATTGTTCACTTGTTTCTTCCACAAGGACCTATCATTTTGTAAGTGGTATTGTGAAACAAACAAGTGAACATCTTTTTGAAGAGGATGCTAGCTAGGAATAAAGATCTCTTGAAATGGAAGAAGTTACTGCTTTTCTGTACCCTTGGTTTTGGATGTGAGTAAGTAAAATATCTCATGTATTAGGACTTAAAACCATGTGGAGAAATCTTGTTTCTACACTTTAGTGGTACATTAAAGGTATGTCATGCATAAAACAATGTGACTATACTTTTCTTCTTCTCATGCATTTTGGAGTTCTTAATTGCAGAGAAATTAGTTCATTTAAGATGAATAACAAGGAGAGGAAAGTTCTTGGTGGTTAAATAGAGGATCAACTCAAAATGTCCTTAAAATAGGGGTTTAACTCATTAAACCCAGAAAATAACTTGTTATTTATTAGCTAGATAAAATTTCAGCTTCCTTATGTAAGCTAGAATGATCAACTGTTACACATATATTGATTAAAAATTGCTTTTTTGTATGTATGGCATATATTGGTATATGGCATATATATATATGTATATATATATGGCTTTTGGTATATATGGCATATAAAGTATGGCATATATTTTGTAACCATCATCACCTATTTCTGCAGACATACAATAACTCTTTGTAGGAGTAGCAATGTCTTTTTTTCACTGAACCCAAATGTGACTGTATAAACTGCAAAAAAGCACAGGCACAATAACATTTACTAAATTGGCTTTGTATCCCATATTGACTTTCCCCTGGTGAAGTGTTGTCCCATGTACAGAATATGTTTTGTACTAAATGCTGACACTTTTCTGGCAAGTCAGTGACTGATGTTCCCCAGTCCTGCTCATACACCTGGCATTGTATTGGCAGTGATGCATGAGTACACAAATGTTTTTAGTAGAAATGCCTTTGCTGTTTGTGGCTGCTAGTACTTCACCAGACTGTTGACCAAGAGCCATATTGTTGTCTCAATAGGAAAAGCTGCCAGCACAGAAGCTGCTAATGATCAAGATGAACCTCAGGAAGATGGAATTTCTGATGCAGAAACAGAAGCAGATGGTGTGACAGCTGAGAAAGAAAATGAGGAATCTTTGAGCATTTCTGAACGAGCAGAAGAGGTTGCATTAGAGCCTGCATTAGCAAAAAAGAAGAGAAAGAGGAAGAGAAAAGATGATCTTGAACAAGAAGTGGAGAATATTCCAGAAGAAGTGCCTGTTCCTTCAAAAACTGCTGAAGAAGGGAAGTCCTCTAATAAAAGTAAGAGGCAAAAATGCTCACTTTCAAATGTTCAAATAGAAATTTTATAGAAAGTCATGGCAAACTTTAAAGTCAAAATTTGCCTTTGATTTATGTTGCTGATCTGCCTTGTAGGAGATTGTCTTTTAAAATCAGCGTTCATTCTAAATCTAAACATACTTTGTTTTAAATGAGAATAGATCTCTTGAATCTTAATAGTTACATCTTTTCTAGTGGGATTTTAGTCTTACATGAACCCTTCTTCACTGTAGCTAGGATTTGATTACTAGAATTCCAAGATGTTTCCCAGAATGTCCAAACTGATTTAATTCCTATTAATTGTCAGGGAAAAGAGTGATACATGATACAAGCAGTGATGGTGATACTACCTGTGGAGAAGAAGTGGATTGTGCTACTGAAGGAAAGGAAAAGGAGACTGCTGTTAGAGAGGAAGAGAGAACAGAGTCCTGTTCACCAGTGAATAAGCAAATGGAGAGCAAAGGTGGAGTCAATTTATGCAGGTAATGTTTGTAATGGAAAGCTTAGGCAAAACAAAAAAATAGTTTAAAGTTTATTATTGTTTTTATTTATTCATGATTGCCACCATTTAACTGGCACAGAATATGCAGGTTTCTGAGAACTGTCCTGGGCTCTAGTAAGCTGTTTATGATTTATATACTCAAAATGTTCTCTGCCCTAATGGGTCGCCCTTGCAAAATTAATGTACGTAATTACTAAAGTAATTTCCAAAAGTTATTTCATTTTTAAGTGTTTAGGAAGACCATTGTTTATCCTAACTTCTAATATTTCTCTTGAAGCACAGGTTGATGATGTTGCTAAGTTGAGATACTATATGCTTGGAATTTTTATCTGTAATAAAATTATTCTTGTGGGAAAGGAATGATGCTTAGATTTTATTTATGCAGAATTTGATTGAGATCCAAGCTTTTGGGTTCAGTTTTGGGCATACTTTTATGAAAAAGAAAGTGAATGCTTGATTATTAAACTTCTTATATGTGAAAGTGGTAAATTGAAAAATTCATTATAATACTGTGAGTATTATGCTGCATCAGAATTTTGTGTGTTAATTTGTTGTATTTAGCTGCGTTGTAATTGTTTGTTATTTTATACATATTCAGAGAAACTTCCATTTTCTTTAGTAGTTCATTAGAAGTATTTCAAGGGACAGTTATTTGCCTTTGGACTCAACCTAGATTGTTATGAAAGATCAGAGGGAAAAACCATTGGCATGCAGTTGTTTGTGTTAAAGTTTATTTTCTTAAAAGCAATCAGTCTAGAATAATCAGATGAGATTTTTACATCATCTTATAATTGCAGTGCAAAAGTACAAAAGATGTTTTAAAGCTCATAGTCTGCAAATATTATTAAAATTTCATGAGATTCTCTGAAACATGGGTAGTTATTTAGTGTCAAAAACTGCATTGTTTTTCTGTGCAACTTCCTCTGTCTGTAAGCAGAAACAACTTTTTTTTCTACAAGTACACTAATGTTCCTGTATGCTTTTATTTATTTCAGCCTTGAAGATAGCAATGATGTTATACTAGAATCAGAACCTGCTAAATTGAGAGCCAGAGATATTAGAGGTGGAGCATCAGAAGAAAGCCAGATTCCAGAGTTACCAGTTTCAAATATTAGAAGCAAGGAAACAGAATGTGTAGAAACTACAGAATCAAAGGTATTACTATTTTTTTATCTAGTTCATCTCAAGATCTTGCCCTTGATCATTGAAAGTGGTTTGTAAATCAAAGCCAATTTTGGATTGTTTTTGTGATGTTTTCACCATCAAGTGAAAAACAATCAACAGACCTAAGAAAATCATCAAAATTGAAATATTGTCATATCTTGTGGGCTTAATGGGCTGTCCATTAACCTAAATGTATTCAGAGAGTATACTGTGCATGCCTGACTTACCTCATAGACAGTTTAAACAGCTGAACAGTTTAAGTGTTCAAAAGTGAATGACTGCAATATGAATAGCTAGGCCTTGGAGCAGGATTTTGCTGGCATGTGCTTACTGGCACAGTAAAACTGCACGGTAAAACTGGAAACGGATTTGAGTGGAATGCACATTGGGTTGTTTGTGCTGCTCCATGAATGATCTAGATAATGGAGCAGAGTGTAACCTCAGCAAGTTTACAGATTAGGCAAATCTAGAAGGAATTGCTTGCCAAGGACAGACACACCCCAAGGTTATATTGGCCTCCAGAGGGACCTGGAGAGGCTGGAGAAGTGGGCTACGGGAACCTCAGGAAGTTCAGCACGGGGAAATGCAAAGTCTGCACCAGGGCAAGAGCAACCCAAGGCACCACTGCATGCTGCAAGCCACCCAGGTGGAAAGCAGCTTTGCAGAAAAGAGCCCGGCTGTCCTGATGGTCTCTGAGTTAAATGTGAAGCAGGAAAGTGCTGTGGCTGCCAAGCTGGTAATGGTGACCTGGGCTGCAGCAGGAGAAGTGTTACCAGCAGGCCAAGGGAGGTGATCCTTGCCCCTTGTTCAGCACTGATGAAGCCACACCTGGAGGACTGACCAGTTCTGGGCTCCCTGGTGGGAGAGACCTGGATGCACTGGAGACAGCCCCTCAAAGGGTCACACCGATGGTAAAGGGCTGGAAGCATCTCTCCTATGACAAAAAGCTGAAGGAGCAGGAACTGTTCAACTTGGAGAGAAGGCTCATGGAGAGCCTTCTCTGAAGGATCTGAAGAGATCCCTCTTCAACAGTTCCACAAAAACTCAAGGGGAGGCTGCAAACAGGACAGAGCCAGGCTCTTTCTAGGGGTGCCCAGTGATGGGACAAGAGACAGTGGGCAAACGCTGCAAGACAGGAGGTTCTTCTGAGCACCAGGAAGTCCTGTTTCACTGTGAGGGTTACCAAGCACTGGCACAGGCTGCCCAGAGAGACTGTGGAGTCTCTATCCTTGGCAAGATTGAGAAGCTGTCTGGACACAGTATTGGGCAACCAGCTCTAGGTGCTTTATGTATTGTTTTTACATGGCCTGTTTTTGGTAGCAAGGGGCTAGAGGGATGGCTTCTGTGAGAAGCTGCTGGAAGCTTCTTCCATGCCCAGTAGAGCCAATCCCTGGTGGCTCTGAAGATGGACATGCCACTGGCCAAGGCTGGGCCAATTAGAAATGATGGTAACACCTCTGTGATCGCATACTTAAGAAGAATTGAAAACAAAAAGTGGTTGCAGAGCTGTAATTGCAACCAGAGAAGAGCAGAGAGAGAATATGTGAGAACAACTCTGCATACACCAGGGTCAGTGGAGAAGGAGGGGCAGGAGCTGCTCCAGGCACTGGAGCTGAGATTCCCCTGCAGGCCGTGGTGCAGGCTGTGGTGAAGCAGCTGTGCCCCTGCAGGCCATGGGGATTCACAGGGATGGAGAGATCCACACACAGCCCATGGAGGTGCCCATGATGGAGCAGGGGATGCCTGGGGGAGGCTGTGATCCTGTGGGAGACCCGTGGAGAGAGGGGCCCTTGGAGCACTACACCCCACAGAAGAGTGACCCTACACTGCAGCAGTTTGAGAGGGGCTGGTGCCCATGGGATGGAGCCACGTCAAAGCTCACAGAGAGCTGTCTCCCATGGGAGGGACCCCAGGTGCAGCAGGAGAATGACTCCTGAGCAGTGGGAGCAGCCTCAGGTGATGAACTGACTATAACTCCCATTCCCTGTTTTCTTGTACTGCTGGAGTGGGAGGTAGAGCTGGAAGGAGGGAGAGGTGAAGGGAAGATATTCTTAAGGATTTCTTTTACTTCTCACTATCCTGCTCTGATTTTGTTAGTAATAAATTCATTTGGTATTTCTAAGTTGAGACTGTTTTGCCTGTGATGGTATTTAGTGAGTGATCTGTCTCCTGGTCCTTACCTCCAGCTGTGAACCCTGCCTTAAATTTTCTCTTGTCTATCCAGCTGCGGAGAGGAGTGGGTGAACAGCTTTGGTGGGTGCCTGGCATCTGGCCCAGGTTAACCCGTTACACTTAATCAGGAGGGTTGGACCAGAGGATCTCTAGCATGCCCTTCCATTCTCAACTGTCACAGACATCTTTTATGAAAAATCCTTTCCTTAGGATTTTTTCTCCTGAGAAACTGAGAGGCCTCAGAAACAAAATGTAAGCAATGATTATCTGCTTCTGTGGAATGCAACAGGTGGATCTGTGATTGATCTCACACGGTTGTTTCTAATTAATAGCCAATCGCAGTCAGCTGGCTCAGACAGAGAGCCTGAGCCACAAGCCTTTGTTGTCATTCTTTCTTTTTCTATTCTTAACTAGCCTTCTGATGAAATCTTTTCTTCTATTCTTTTAGTATGGTTTTGATATATATCGTAAAATAATAAATGAAGTCTTCTGAAACATGGAGTCAGATCCTCATCTCTTCCCTCATCCTAAGATCTCTCTGAACACAGTCACACTCAACCACTGTGGAAATCTTGTTTCTGATTTTTGTTACATTACAGTAGAAGATCATCTAAGTTTATTGTTTCTTTCCTACAACATTTCTCCCTCAGAGTGAAGATACGCATCACTCACAAAAACCAGATGGAAAGCAGAGTGCATCAGAATGTGGTTCACAATCTGAAATCATGTACGTATAATTATTTTGCTTTGCGGTGGCACTTGAACTAAAGCTGTATCTACTCAATTTGAATATAATTCCAATTGACCATAGCAGATTGAACCAGTCAGGAGATCGTGATGAGTTGTTTTCCATATTCAGTGAAGCTTTTTGGTAGAAATTTTGATTACTCCATAGTAGTGCATTAGCTAAGATCTAAATGGTAGGTAGGAATAGGGAGAAAGACTTAGCTAATCTTTGAGAAAAAAGCCCTAGCCTTTCTACAGCCAGCAAGAGCAAGAGAATGATGAAATTCTGCCACGTTGTGGGTAAAGGTTGGCTGTAAAATTTAATTTTTGGTTTTTTAATAGAAGGGCCTCACTGAATCCTTTGACATTCATAGTTGTCCATCAGAGCTTATTAGCTGTACATGTCATGTGTATGGTGCATTTCTTCTTTCCTATTTGGAAACTGTTCCTCTTTGGAAGTTGGTGCAAGCTTCTAAGATAGAAGATACTCCAAAATGTCTCTGTCTTATCTATACTCCTTTATGAAGTTAATTTTGGTGATACTGAGAAATCATATATTAAGTAGTCTGTGCCTAAGGTTTCCATTTTTGCATGATCATCAACTTCTTATTTCATGATACAGTTTTGTAAAGGTAATTTAGAGATGAGGTACTAGTTAATGCTAATTTGTTTTTCATACTTCTGTCTTTCCCTTTTTGAAGGACAGCTCACTCCCATGATAAAGACTGTCAAAGCTTTATTTGTCCTGTTCTAGGGAGAATATAAGAAAAGGTAGTAGTTCCCAATCTGAAGATTATTGATAAGATGTAGGGCTGTGTCAGTGTGTGAATCCCAGGACATGCCATTGCAGTGGTTAAGGACAAAGAGAGTGATGTACGTACCCCATTCTTCAGTAAGATGTGGATGCTGGCAGTAGGACAAGGTATTTGAAAAAAAGTTTGGTTTTCCATGACTGAGATAGCTTTGAAAGGGGATGGGGGGACAGAAGAGGCGGATGCAAAACATTGTATATAGGGCAGATTTATATTGTTTCTATATAAAATTAATCACATTGTCATGAATTGTGAATCCCGAGGAGAAAAAAATATTCTTATTTATTTAACAGCAGGAAATGATTCCTTAAAGTGTTTTGAAGTAGATTCCACTGAAAGGCAGCAAAGTTAAGGTTTATTTGATGCTCTTTTCATAACTTCGTAGCATATCTTTTAATATCAGAAAGATGCAATGGGGTTTTTTTTTCCTGTTTATTGTCTTGCTGCATGCAGTGTCTTGACCCATGCAGTCTGTGACGGTCTTGAGGTACATCTTGAACCGTATAAGACTTAAAGTTTCTCTTTGGTAATAATGTATATCACCTTTCTTTATATCTTAAGGAAAACTGAAAAGTCAGCAGATAGAAGGCGCTTGCAAAGACCTAAACCAAATTTAATGAGATCATCTGGAAAGAGGGAGACAGCAACACAAGACAGAATGGAAGCCAAAACTTCGTCTCCAACCCTTGCAAATGCAGGTGAAAAGGTGAGAAAGAGGAATGTTACTTAGTATGTTGTTCTTGATGCTGCATCTGTTTTGCTCAATGGAGATACTGTGGGCCAGCCACAGAACATTTTGAGAACTGCTACTATGATACTTGCACACCTGTCAAAGAGTGATATTCCTTGCCTCAGTTCCAGTGCTCTGAAGAGGAGAGTAGAAGAAAACATAATGAAGCCACAGAAGTAGAAAACAGGGATTTGGATACTGCATCTCAGTAAGTATTGAGATCACTTTTCCAGTCTCCTGGTATGAACTGACTGTAACTGTTAGTTTATTCCATATAATTCTCCTGGAAAAAGATAGCGATAACTGTGAAGCTTTAATTTAAATTTCAGAATTGACTTTAGCACTTTTTTGGATGATATCAGGTGGTACTCAAGTAGAAGGTATATACTTCTTTTCTGGAAAGTTGATGAAAGCATTGAAGTACCAACAATACCTGTAATTTGAGAAAGGAAGCGTGATAACTATGGCTTTGCTTCCCTGCCAGCCTCAGTTATCAGGTAATGGCTCTGCTTCTGGTGCTTGCAGAAGCAGCTGTGATATGCAGTTTAGTTAAATTCCTCACCTGTGTGACAAATTAATCTCTTTTTAATACGTAGATAAATCGAGTTTTCGTGCATTGTAAGACTAAACCAAGCTTGTTTCTTATGTGAAGCAACTTCCATAAGTTTATGCAAATCTTTCTGAAGACAACAAAATTCAAGTAAAGAAATATATGCAAGACTGCGTGGTATTTGTAGACTTGAATATTACGGAGTAAATGTTATTGTGGATCCTTTGTGCAGAGAACCTGAAAAAACTGCAGTTGCAAAGACAATAGTTAGAGGATATCGACAGAGATTTAAACCTAATGTTACAAGAGCATCTGGAAGGAAAGAAGAGCCTGAAAAAGATGAAGGAAATGATAAAATATCCCATCTACAGCCTAGGGGAGAAACTGAGAAGGTATTTAATAAAGTAACATAACTGAAGATAATAAGCTGCTGGGTACAACAGTAATGTTATCTTTTTTTCTTTACTTTTTTGCTCCTGAGTATGAACAGGAATTAGCCACTTACTTAACCTGCTGTCAGTGGTAGTATGGTATTGCTTAGTGACCTCAGCTGTGGTGAGAGGTTGTTACACAAACAGTAGATGCCAGTAGTCTTTCATGTCCTGCAGCACATACAACTTCAGGTATTTGCTGTAGTTTTGACTGCACCTGTCTGACTGAGAAATTGATCCTGTAATTGTTTGTGTGTCATAAGCAATCTATTTTGTCTCCTCTTACAAGCAGTTATTTGGTCAGTTAGGTGATGCTGTACTTTATGAATGTAAGACAGTTCATGTCATAATACTCTGTTTTTGTTCAGAATAATGACCAAGGTAGTAGATCTGATGATACCTGTGAAGATACTGCAGAAAAAGATGACAAAGTCCTGGAGACAGTGTCTCAGTAAGTATGAGAAAAATAAGAAGATAACCACTGCTGTCCTGCAATTTACCATTCTTGTCGCTTCTGGTAGTATTTCGTAGTGTGGTAATTATAGAAGTTTTTTAAGAAAATTCTGCACTACAGAAATTGACGGCAAAATAGGAATCTTCATTAATTATGAAACATTTATTAAGCATTATCATTTTTAAAGTTGTACTTTTAAATTATAAGTCAGTCATGTACATGTAAAGAAGCTGAAAATTTAGTCCCTCAAAAACTAAAACAAGCCTTAGCTACTTACTTTTAATACTAAAATGCATCCATTTCAGTGGTTAAGTATTTAAACAATAGGAGTAAGTGTTCTTAAAGTGTAGTTAAGTGTTAGATGTCAAATAAGAGGAAGAAAAAATTTCAATATGTGCAATGTAATGCACATATTTATTAAGTGTTGCATTTTTCTTCCGTGAAGTGGCAGCTGTAGTGTAAAAGCAATAATATGTTTTATAGAAGAGATTGTAAAAAATAAAAACTGGAAAAAGCCAACTTTCCCCCAAATACTGCCCCACAAAAAAAATTCCCAAAACAACCTAAACCAAGAACAGAAATAAAAATCCAAAACCTCAAGCCTTTCTTTTAAAGGGAGATACTTGAGGAGGATCAGTGGAGATAAAGTGGGTGTGATAATCTGCCAGAAAAAATTTTCAGTTACTTCTTTCATTAACCTGCTTGGTGACTTGATGCTCAGTGTAAAATTTGTAGAAGAATCTGACCATTCTAGTAATGCACTACTGATACTTTTACATTAGTAAGATAAAAAAGTTATTTATGTATTTTCTGAATTCACTGAAGAAAAACTCTGAATATTTACATATTTTTAAACTCTTTATTAAATTGGGTCCATCTGCCTCTAGACTAGATAGGAATACAAAGAGGTCCATTATGGATCAGAGAAAGGTCTCTCTAGTGTCATATCCTGTCACCAATGGGAAGAGGAAAATAGCAGGGCAAGCATAAGTTTAAACTCTCAGTCCTTAGTACATACATTTCCAGTTTTATTCTTTCAGGAAGATAGTAATATATTTTAGTAAGTATATGTTAATAACTATTTAAAAGAATGGAGGGAAAAAAAGCATCTGTTCTCCAAGTCTTCTCCCACTTTCAGATGTGGTATGTACTGCAGGGATCATATATATGTTTTTCCAGGTCTAATGAAACAGCTGGTTTAAAAGAAGATAGCAAACGGATTGTGTTGAATCAAACACCTCTAAAAAGAGGTAGAATACAGAGACCAAAACCAAATCTAGGAAGAACTATTGCAAGGCAAAAAGAGCTGATAGATGAAAAAGATCCTGAAGAGGAGACAACAGAAGGTGGAGAAGCAGAAAAAGGTGTCACGCACCATCGAGATGAAAACAATGATCTCTGCCTCAAAAGTGTAAGTTTCTTGAGCAATTGCTTATGCATACTGTTTTGTTGGGTCCTTAATAGAAGCCTTGGTAACAAAGATCTAGGTACATGCTCCATAATTTGTAGGGATAGACTTTGCATCTTTATTTATTATTTCAGAATAAACTATATTTGTAGTCATAAAATTTCCTCATTTTTACACTTGGTTTCTGTTTTTTATGGTGTGAAGTTAAAGTGCAGTCAGCAACCAAGTACCAGCTCACTTTCTCACTGCCCCACCAGCAGTACTGGAGACAGAATTGGAAGGGTAAAGGCTGGAAAACAGGGGCTGAGATAAACTCCTGAGTGCTGGATAACCCTGAGTAAGGTTTAGTAGGGAAAGCAGAAGCTACAGTCATGTGCAGAGCTTAGCCAGAAACTCTTCTACTACTTCCCATGAACAGGCAGGTGTTTAGTCACCTCCAGGAGAGCTGGGCTTCATCACACATTATAGTTACTTGGGAAGACAAAATCCACTTCCCCCACTTTGTATGCTGAACTGCCTGTCCATGACTCAGAAGGACGTGGAATATCCCTTTGGTCAGTTTGGGTTACCTGTTCTGACTGTGTCCCCTCCCATCCTTCCATGCCCCCTCAGCTTCCTCTCCAGCTTGGCAATATGAAAAGCAGGAAAGGCCTTGGCTCTGTGTAAGCCCTGCTCAGCAATAATTAAAACATCTCTGTGTTATCAACCCTATGTGCAGCATAAACCCAAACCGCAGCATGACACTTAGCATTGTGAAGGAATCTAACTCTGCCCTAGTCAAAACCAGCATACATGGAAATGGAATGTATCTGACTTGGTTGTATTGTGATACCACATCTGGAAAGAGAAATGAAAAGAAAAAACGCCTCGGAAGATGAACCACTTAAAAGAGAAAATATAAAGAAAAAGAACTTTTTACTTTTATAGTAGACACTGATATTGGTTGGATGACAAGAAACAAGAAAAATTTTAGTGTTTCTGTAGAAAATATTTAAACTTTATCATTTTCTTCCTGCTCTCCTATAAGAGAAATTGAGTAAATATTTCATCTTAACAAAGTGGAACTTTTATTCGTTTTAGGATTTAACAGTTCATGAAGGCACTCAGCTATCCAGTGTGACGTTAGAAGATGTTTCTGCAGGTTCTGAGGTGAACTCAAATACAAGACAGTGTTTCCAAGGAAAGTCCTCAGAAGCAGAAAGCAATGAAAATGAAAAGGGATTGTCAGAGGTCTCCAAACCGGTTTCAGATTCTAGTACAGGGTAAGGTTATTTCACTTCATTTGAGAGAAGAAATGGTTCGAAGCTATCAGTATCTCTTGGTATTATACCATATTACATTCAACTTTGGCATTACAAACAAGTTGTATATATATAAAGACATATATATCAAGACAATACTAGACTTTAACTAACAAAACCCCAAGAGCTTGAAAACATTAAATTGATATGCTCTTTGATGTTAATTTGTTCTTTGGACTATTCGCCTAATTTTCAAAAAAATACACTTTTCTAATGTTCAGTCCCTGTGATTGTCTTCTCCATGTTGGTCTCCACAGTGCATTCTAGTGTGCTTTTATAGATCCTTGAGTACAGGGTCTGGTTTTGTATTAAAGTGCCTCCTGAAAAAATAGTCAACCACAGGTATTCTGTAAGTCTTCTGAGTATTTTTAAACATGATTAGAGGAAGGTATTTTTAAAATGTATGTATCGTAGTAAAATGTCTCAGTTTGCCTTCCAGGTCTCAAGTGGAAGGGGCGGTAAACTTCTTTGCTTATCTGTTTATAAGATAGAGAGGCATTTATTGACAATCACTGTGTTTTTATTGGCTCTTTTTCATGTCACTAATGTTGTTATTGCTCTGAGAGCTCTATACAAGGATGCCATATTGTCCCATGTCTTTGATTGTTCTTTTGCTTGTTTTTGCAGGGAATCTCATCCTCAGAAGGAAGAGGAGAAAACTGTTGTATCATCTGCTAGGCCACTGAGGATGCGATTCCAGAGACCAAAGCCAAATTTAAGAGCAACTAGTAGAAAGGAAGTTCTGGATGTAAATAGTAAAAGTGCATCGCAGAAAGATACCAACAGGGAAGAAAGTTTGACGCAGTGTGATAGTGAATGTAGCATCCCTCCTGACACAGATGTAAGGCTTTTGTTTTTTTCCTTTAGTTATATGTGAGCTGCTGATTTTGTGAAATGAAGTACTGATGATTTTAAAAAATATAAAGTTAACTTTTTGAAACAATTTTTTCAAAAGCTTGAATTTTCCACCTTAAAACTTGTGTACTTTTCACTTGGTCATATGTGAGGAGAAGAAGATGACTCACACTTGATGATATGATGAATCTCTTGTTACATGTCCAGATGTCTTTCTGACCCAAAGTGGCATTATAGAGATGACAGGGAAGAAAAAAAAAGAAGATGGCACAGATTTCAGGCTTTGTTGTCTTAAATAAAAAATTGTATATTTGTCCTGAAAAGACTAGGAAATCATTAGTGAGCAGTTACAGAGGAGTTTGTAGGAGAGCGCAAAAAAACTCTCTGAGTTTTTCAGAGTGTGGTGTATACCAAACTTCACAGACATCATAAACTCTCCTTTTAGTTTATTATTACAGCTTTTTCTGGTTCTTGTGTTTACATTTTTCAGAAAGCAGGAAAATGTGAAGCCTTAAATGCACTAGAATCCTTGGGAAAGGAGATGTCAGTTTGCTCTCAGGAGGTTTCTGAGAGGCCAAGTTGTAAGTCCCCAAAAACATTTTCAAGATCAGAGGATAGTGGACTGGAGATCTGCCTATCTGAAATTTGCCAAGATGACATTTCTACTACTATTGCAGGGTAAGGGCTTATCTACTTTTATCCTTGACTGTAACAATGAAAGAATTTTACAAGGAAATTATTGCACCAGTGGCTTGCCATCTGGCAAGCATAGTCTAATGAAAATACTGCACAAAATTTCCATTCTCATAGTTTAACACCAGTGATACTGCAATTTCAGTAGCTTCTATGCTAAGCATGACATGAATGAGCATTCACTTTATAACTGTTTCATCATCTGAAAGACTGGATTAATTTCATGCAGGGAAATGCTAGTTTGCTTATCAAAGAAAACATGTAAAAACTGCTTTGGTTTTATAGCAACAAGTAGTCAGTAAGTTAGTTGATTCTTTTGTTGGAAATATTTAGAAGACCGGTGCTTCAAAATTTTCGCTGGAACAAGTTGTTGTTTATAATTTAAACTCAGCTGAGCTTTTAGTTCACAAGATTTCTTCTCAATACTCAGTGGTTTTTGTGTGTAGTACTAATGGATCTGTGTTTGTGTTTGTACTAAGTTTTGGATTATTTTTTCTGTCTTAACTTTGCATTGATGATACAAACAGCACTCAAGAAGAACATCAATGTGCACCTCTCCCACCTATTCAGCTGGCACAGAACAAGATGTATAAGCCAAACTTGGTAAGAACTATCGGAAAGGAGGAGTTACAAATATCAGAAAGTGAGAGCAAGAAAAAGCCAGATGCAGAGCAAAAAGATGAGTTTGACAATACTGTCATGGTAAGCCTTAATAAGAGTAAGGCTTTGCCTTCAAAGTTGGCTTGAAGTGCGTGTTCGCTTTTATAAAGTGAAATGAAAACATTGAAGTTGCATTGTCTGAAGCTGAGACAATATATTAAATTTTAAAAATTCCCAAAACATGGTAAGCTGAGGTATTGTAGGTATGAAATCGGTGAGGTCTACAACTTGAAGTATTAATTATTCTTTTTACAAATTATCTGCTTTTGATTGAATTGCAGGATGGGGAAAACAAATGCACATTTATACAAACTCTAGAATAAAAATACATAAGAATTACCTTTCTTTTCTCATTTCATCGTTCCTGTTTAGATGAATCAAGTCTGTGTTGAGCAATCTAGTATAATGTCTCAAGTGAAGGCAGAGGATAGCTATTTTTATGAAAAAAGGGTTTTATTAATTTGATAATCTTTAACTGGCTTCATCACTACAATACCTCATACTCCTCTATTTCATACAAGTAAATGACACTGTGTATCCCCACAAACACTTACTAGGCACTTGTAGAAGATGTGGAAATTCTTGAAAGCCATTTACAGTGTGATGTGTCTGTGTAACTGTTGGGTTGCACATGAATCATGTCACAAATGTTGGAATATCTGTGTAGACTTGCCTTAGATTTGGAATACAGCTAAATTTTGCAAGAGTGACTGTTTTGGAGTGATTATAGCTGGTTTTGTTATTGAGCCTATCAGAAGTACTTGTGTCCTGCAGGAATCTCTCATCTTCCATCAGTGCCACAGTCGGCTCGCCCCTAGCTGGGATAGTTCCTTGTGGTTCAGCTTTGGCTGCTTTGGACCTGAGGCCTGTGAACCACGCACATGCATCTGCTCTGTACTGGGCAAATCTGTAGAACCAGAGCAGGTCTGATGCTCCTCTTTACTAGTCAAGCTGTCAGGCCTGAAGTGTTGAAGGATGTGTTTGAGGGGCTTCTTCGTGGAACCAGTGTGGTAAATACAGACATGAAGCTTATTAGGCCTTCTGGATCTTGAGGCTTTGTTATTGTGGCTTGGGTGTGTCTGTGCTGCCCTCTGCTGTGTCCAGTTTTCAAAGGTTTTCCATTTGCTGAAGTATCTTGTTTCGACCGTGCTTCATGTATTAGGGAATTGATTGAATACTAAGTAGAGACGGGTGTTTCCCATAATGCTTGGGTGCACATAGTGTTTAAGAACTTAACTCTAGGTATCCCAGGAGTATTAAGACTTCTGTTCCTTTTTGCATATAACTTGAATTATGATAACATGATTTTTACCTTTATTTCAGTTGGGAAAATAGCATCGTTTCTATTTTTGTATATTGAGTATATGTCTGTTTTAGAAGCTTACATACTTCTATTTTTCTTCATGCTTCCTTTACTGTAAATTGAAGGGTGAAAATGAAGCTGTATTGTGTCAAGCAGATGTATTGAGCAAAGAGGAACAGGAACAGCAAGAGGTGCCTCAGGTGCTCTCTATTTCTGAAACCTTATTGTCTGAACAAAGCAGGTGAGGTTTGAGTTTAGCAAAATAGCATTTGAAAAGCTTTTGTCTGTGTATAATGAGATACCTTTGCAAGTGTCAATTCTTCTGTTCCTTGTCTTTTGTCTTTTTACAGTATTTAATTTCCAGTGCCTACAAACAGCTTTTTCCAGTGTTTTCAGAGCACATTTTTTTTGCCTGCACTCTTCGTTATTATTTATCTGGTACATACTTGATCTGTACAAGCTCATAGGTGTTCCTGACCAAGATTTTTTATTACTTGGTCTGTATTTACTTAAGTAGCAATCACGTGTGTAAGATTTGTTGTAAGATATGTAACATTCAAATTTTGCAAAATGTCAGAGACTTGACTCTCATTTGTCCATCCATATGTTCTTCTATTTTACTGTCGCTGTTGTTGAAATAAGATCTTAAATGTGTGTTAGACTGCTGATGCTTTCATGTTGGTATGGTTAGCAACACGACTTGTTTTTTATGTTAAAAATGCCTTGACAAAATCATTTTGTTATTTCTGCTCCAAAGTTAACCATAAATGAGAAATGTATTTGAAAATATAATTTTATTAATCTTAAACAAAGCAGTCTGGTAGTCTCTTGTGTAAGTGTTAATTCAAAATGTAAGTGCAGAAGTGCTTTTTTTCTCTCCCAGCCAAAGTAAAATGTGTATTTTCTTTAAATTTGTTTGTTTTGCTTTAAATTCATCAGTACTGAAAAACTTACCTCCCAAGAAGGCAGGCTAAGTGCTCTGAAACCAGGACAACTCGTAGTACAAAAACTTACTGCCCCAGGTGAAGAAGAAATGAATCATGGAGAGAATCTACCTGGGACAGAAGAATCTGAAAACCTTCTCTCCTCAAAAGTGAGATTCTATTTCTGACTACACTTACTGATTCTTGGTTCCACTCTAGCTTCTACTTGCTTCTACTTAAAGCTGTTTGTAACTACATTAATTAGCTTTTTTTAAGGCATCTAAATAAGCTGTTTGTAAATACATTAATTAATTTCAGCCTAGTAAGAATTCCTGCTCAGTATTTGCATGCTATTACAGGGTTTTCCAAAATCCTGCTAGTGACACATTGATAAGACATACAAAGACTTCACTTGGATTTTGACATTTCAGTCGTATTCATGATACACAAGTAGTTACCTGCATGTTGTATTCTGTTGCTGGGTTTCTCGTGAGCTCCTTGGTTGCTTTTCATGAAGGACTATATTGGTTTTAGTATCTGTCTTTTATTAGCTAAATGCCTTCCTAGAGGAACAAGGAGCAGTGATGGTACCATAAACTACTTGGCAGTTTTTAAATGAAGTTTCATCTCAGGTTAGCAACTTGATCATAATTTGCAACACTTTATTTTACAGGTGATATATTTTGTTATAATAATAAATAAAATATTTTTATATACTTTGCTAATATTGTTGGTTTTTTTTTTTCTCAAATTAAAGGATGACATGGACATATTGTTACTTGTGGGAAATTTGGCTGAGAATGACGATCTAGACATAAATTCAAGAAGCATGACATCAGAAACGCTTTATTCTTCTAAAAAATCACCAAATTATAACAGCAAAAGAGTGCAAGAAGAATGTCTATCTACAGATGCTATAGGAGGCGTTCAGGATACCACAGAAAGGTAAAGTTACCTCTTTTCAAAGTAAAAAATCTTCCATTTTCAACTGGGGTAGAGTTTATTTTCTTCTTATTAGCTGGTACAGTGCTGCAATTTGGATTCAATATGAGAATAACATCGATAACACTCTGACATTTTAGTTTTTGTTGAGCAGTGCTTACCCTGAGTTGAGGACTTTTCAGTGTCTCATGGTCTGCCAGAGAGCAGGTGCGTAAGCAGCTGGGAGGGAGCACAGCCAGAACAGCTGGTGTGAACTGGCCAAAAGGATATTCCATACCATGGAACATCATGCTCACTCCATAAACTGGAGGGACCTGGCTAGGAGATGCTGAACCCTTATTGGGGACAGGCTGGGTGTCAGTCAGCAAGCAGTGAGCAGTTGTGCATCACTTGTTTCCTTGTGTTTTATTCCACTCTCTCTGTGTGTCTGCCTCTCCTTTTCATTATTTTATATTTTACTTTGTTATGATTATTAAACTGTTCATATCTAAACCCACAAGGTTTACCTTTTCTTTCCAATTCTTCTCCTCCCTGGGGTTTGGGGACTGACTGACTGCATGACACTTGTCAGCTGTGGTTAAGATGCGACAGTACTTTAAAAATTTTGTGCATTTTTCCAGTTGATGTTATACAGCACTTGCTTCTGGAGCTGTTACTAGTTGTTATCTGCTATGTGCTGTGCAAGTCACTAGGTGGCGTTCTTAAGTAGTAGAACAGTTTTTAAGAGGATTAGGGGTTTTTTTCCAAGGCTATTTTTCTTTTTAGAAGGTACTTCATGGGTGAGAGTAGAAGCAAGTAATCAGGGTTTAGTTGTCCGAATTTCTCACTAATAAATTCCTGGGGTACAGTGTACCATCAATGTGGACCAAAGACTGAGCAATGCCATTTGCACTCCCTTATAATTGAGAACTGACAAGAAGACAGCAAGCTCACTTTGTTTCTGTAAGATATATTCTTGGTCTCTTCAATTTTTCTTTCCAGTAGTAGAACTTTCTGTGATAGTGTTTATAATCTATGTGCAATATGAGGCAGATTGTGGCACTTACGTGCGACAGCTCTGTGTTATAAGCTACCTTTTGCTCAGTCTTAACTTACACAGAGCAGTCCCAAATCTATTTTAAAATTTTGCAATTTTCTGGAATTAACTTCTGGTTTGCATCTGTCCCTAAAACTCTCTAAAACCTCTTCCAAAAATTATGTTGAAATCATGTCCCAGAGTCTTTTGGCTAGCAAGACAAGGACCTTACTTGACAATCTTATCTTCTATGATGGGGGACTTTCACAGATTCACAGAATGGTTGAGGGTGGAAGGGTCTGCTAGAAGTCTTCTGGTCAAGGCACCTGGAGCTGGTTGTCCAATACTGTCTGGACAGCTTCTCAAATGTCTCAAAAATCTTGCCAAGGATAGAGACTCCACAGTCTCTCTGGGCAGCCTGTGCCAGTGCTTGGTAACCCTCACAGTGAAACAGGACTTCCTGGTGCTCAGAAGAACCTCCTGTCTTGCAGCGTTTGCCCACTGTCTCTTGTCCCATCACTGGGCACCCCTAGAAAGAGCCTGGCTCTGTCCTGTTTGCAGCCTCCCCTTGAGTTTTTGTGGAACTGTTGAAGAGGGATCTCTTCAGATCCTTCAGAGAAGGCTCTCCATGAGCCTTCTCTCCAAGTTGAACAGTTCCTGCTCCTTCAGCTTTTTGTCATAGGAGAGATGCTTCCAGCCCTTTACCATCGGTGTGACCCTTTGAGGGGCTGTCTCCAGTGCATCCAGGTCTCTCCCACCAGGGAGCCCAGAACTGGTCAGTCCTCCAGGTGTGGCTTCATCAGTGCTGAACAAGGGGCAAGGATCACCTCCCTTGGCCTGCTGGTAACACTTCTCCTGCTGCAGCCCAGGTCACCATTACCAGCTTGGCAGCCACAGCACTTTCCTGCTTCACATTTAACTCAGAGACCATCAGGACAGCCGGGCTCTTTTCTGCAAAGCTGCTTTCCACCTGGGTGGCTTGCAGCATGCAGTGGTGCCTTGGGTTGCTCTTGCCCTGGTGCAGACTTTGCATTTCCCCGTGCTGAACTTCCTGAGGTTCCCGTAGCCCACTTCTCCAGCCTCTCCAGGTCCCTCTGGAGGCCAATATAACCTTGGGGTGTGTCTGTCCTTGGCAAGCAATTCCTTCTAGATTTGCCTAATCTGTAAACTTGCTGAGGTTACACTCTGCTCCATCATCCAGATTATTTTGTGGAGATACTGGACAAGAGTCGATACAGTATTAACCCATGGGGCACTGGAGCTGGTTGTTGGTCTCCAACTGGACTTTGCGTCACTGATCACAAACCTCAGAACCTGACAACTCAATCAGTTTTTAATGTACTTTCAGTCCATACTTCATGAGTTCAGTTATCAGCATGTTACAAGAGACAGTGTTCAACAGTGTTAACAAGCCTTGCTGGAGACCAGGCAGATACTACTTACTTCTTTCCCTTTATTTATTGAGCCAGTCATTTCATTGAAAGATGTTACCAAGTTGATTAAGATTAACTTCCCCATTGCTAATCCATGCTAACTACTCCAAGTTAGGTTGTTTTTCATGTGTCTGGAAGTAGTTTCCAGGTTCAGTTGTTCTATCGCCTTCCCAGGGACTCAGATGAGGCTGACTAAATTGTATTCTGAATTACTCTAAGTCCCTTCTTCTCAAGCCATGAGTTTAGAAGGCCAAGATTTCTCTCTTACCAATCTAAACTTGTTTGAACAGATGTAAGAATTGTATCCTTTTTGAAAGCAGGAGAACCTTGAGCACTGGAATTAGTGAATATAGTGTTCCTATGGCTGCTTAATTTTGGAGACCTGTGTTGGTCTGACACTTTCCGGTCTATCTGACCTTATGTTCTTTTGTTTCCTAAAATCTTTCCCAAAACTAATCAGGAAGGTCCACTACTGAAGATGAATTATCTCCCTTATGCAGTGGTTTTTTAGTTCTTTTATGTTTTTTTTTTTTTTACATTTAGCCAACTAAGCAAATAAAAATTCAGAACATAAGTTCATTTCTAGGTAGAAGTACTAAACATCTGATAGTAAGCCACACTTATAGAGTGTACTTTATAGTTCTTCAGAAGTAAAAGTTAAAACATATTTTTGTAGGTCCAGTGATAAATTAAGTTCTGGAGAAGAAAGTGAACAGAGAGGAAGGGAACCCCATTGGAACCCGACGCCAGACCGAATGAGACTTACTAGGAAAAGAGATTATCCTGGAGAGTGTGAAAACAGAGAAGAGGACAGTACTGAGAGAAATGAAGAGGTTTTGGTGTTATTAGAAACAGGTGTATCAGGGGTAAGTGCTTATCATGTATTTTGAGCCAGTTGCACCTCAATCCTTTTGCCCAAATTCTTAGAAAGATAGATGGCACAGAAATCCAGTATGTGGCTTGAAAGTGTTAATGTGATTATTTGATTTTTTAAAAATTCACCATTGGAAACTATACTGAATAAATGGAATTAGAATTTAAAACCTATGGAAATACCTAATATACACTGTTGTCTTAAGTTTGATGGTTTATATGATCAGAAATTTGCATTATAATAAATACGTGCTAACACTGTTGAAAAATAATTTACTGTTTGTTATTCATTGAACAATGGAAATGAAGGCAGTTGCCTAACTTCAGATACTGCCTAAAATCTGTGTTAGTATACTTAGAAATTGAGTGTGAACAAAGTTCAGACCTTCTTAAATTTGCTCAGCAGGCCTGACTTAGCCCAGACTAGTTCCATCTCTAATGCTGGATAACTGGATCAAGTTTATCTAGTGTTCCTTATTTTTTGTATGTATGACTAAAACTTCTAGTTAGCATATTCTTTTAGCCAAGTATGCATAGTTGATAGAACTGCGGTTGCTGATGTTTGTCTGTGTATATGTTGAATAATATTGAAATGCTTTTTTATAAAGTATGTTAGTTTTTTCTTCCTACCTTGTTCCCAAGGCAGAAAAAAAATAGTTCCTGCAAATTGTTCTTTAAATTAATAGGTAATTTTAGAAAGTTATTTATCTTTCCAGCTTCTAAAGGGTTGTTGCTCTTGATAAATTGAGTATGGTGTTGGTCTGTTAACTACCAGCTGCACTGCGAATTCAAGTATCATAGATAATATCAATTAATGACTAATGGGTTCTACTTCTGCTGTAGAACCCAAAATTAAAGGCATCGAGGAAAAATATCCGAAGTTATCAGAGATGACAGCTGGGCACATTCTCGAGATCCTCAAACTAAGTTCTTTAAGTCACCAAAACCAGTTACAAATGTTTGGCACTTAATATGGTAATAATAATCTCCTCTGTTCAGGAAAACTCCAGTAGTACAGTGGAAGCTGGATCCTTCTCAGAGGCTACAAGGAAACACAGTTTTGCAGAGAATGTTGAAGAAACATCTCGTAAGAGAATCAGGCTGGACATTACACTCCAGTCTCCAGGGATATCATCAGAGAGTGAGAAACACGTAGAGCAAGATAATGATTCTCAGCTTTCTACCTCACAAGAAAAGTGTCCAGGCAGTCTCACAAGGTAAAACAGCTGTTTTGCTTTGTAAACCAAACTCAGTTGATTGACAATTATTGGCCATAGTTCTGCCATGTGTAATGTGAGTGCATGCAGCATGTCAGTTTTTATGTCTTCCATCTGAACTTAGCAGATGTGTGCAAATGCTCCTTTGTCTCTTACTCTGCCTGTATTCTCATAAAATGAACACAGCGAGTACTTTCACCAATCTATCCCATGGTTTCAACAGAAATTCCATATTTTATAGGGGAGGACACAAGAGTACCCATTTTTGGGGGCACAGGATTGTGGGATTAATCTAAAGAGAAACTTTGTGCCAGTAATGTCCTCTGCTACCATTTGCTTCCACTCTTCACCAGTTTACCAAGGAGAATGTTTTGGGGGCAAAGTTTGTCATTGCTTTTGGTACTCAGAGTGATTGTGCTCATGATTTTAAAGGAGGAAACTGTAGGTAACTGATTATTGAAGAGAATGCTGTCTGAGAAACCAAAGCAGATAAGTAGTTATCACCTAACAGTTTCAGTTTGTAAACAATACTCTGATCAATTAAAGTATCATAGTTGGGGGCTTCTAGTCTAGTTTTAGCAAAAGACAACTGGAACTGTTCCTATGACTTAAAAAGTATGTGACTTCCACATCCCTCAAAATAATTTCATACTTTTCTAATCAAAGAATTGTGTTTCTTGCAAGTTTAGTTGTGAACATTTCTAGCATTTTGAAACTGCTTAATACATATTTGCAATAAGTACCTTATGTACACAGGAAGAAGTTAAATTTCTGATTAAATGCTTATGTGTCACTAAGAAGTTAAGAAGTAAATAGTTTGCATTGTTGGTCACAATGATAACTTATTTTTTAAAATTGAGTTTATTTTGATTTGTTGTATCCCTCCCTTGGGAAAGTCTTGGATTTCATTGTTTTTGTTCTGTACTTTAGAAGGCAGTTCAGGAGATCATCAAAACAGATGGCACTGCCAGAACACGTGTTGGAGGCAAAAACGGCTACTTCTTCTGCCTCTGAATGTGAGGCTGATTGCAGTGAGAAGGGGATTCAAAGGCAAGATGCTAAACTGAGTGTTACCAGAGACAGAAGTTTGAAAACTACACAGAGAAGAAAATCTGAGAAGGAACCCAGAAGTTCAAAGATAACCTTTGTTACCCTCCGGGCTTCTCAAGAGGAGGAGGAGGATGAGGAGGCAGATGATTTTGAACTTGATGATGAAGATGAATGCTTTGCATCAGAGGAAGTGAACAAGGCTCCAGTGTTTGTTCCTATAGGGCTTCGATCTCCAAAACCAATTCCTATGCAGATACAGGAAACTGTGGAGGAGGTATTGTGTAGCTGGATTCTATATCTGTAATTTTGTTCTGATTGTTTAAAAATATTTTATTCTAATTGTATCTCTGGGTATTTGGGTTTTATCCAAGTTCAAGTTAAGAATGGTGTTGAGAGTGGCAGGGATGTTACTTGGCACATACACTTGGTTTTGAACTTAATACAGCCTCAGCCTAAAATCCAGTTATGTAATTATGTTTACAAACTGTATATAGGTTTGCAGGGAACTCACCAGTTTGTTTATTGGGATTGAATATAGGCCCAGACTCGATGCTTGTCCATGTGTTTTGAGGCCCAAAATGGATCAAATGGAGCACTTCAATTTCACATTTGAATGTTAGGAAATGAGGGTATGAGGAAAATGTTTCTGTATGTCATGTCCCCCTTGCCAAGAAACTTTTAACTGTTCAGGTAGGCTGACCTGACTAGCAACCAGACACACACTTCTGCTTGCTTACTCCCTTTTCCTGTGTGACAAGGAGAAATTAGAAGGGCAAGAAGATTTCTCTGTTGATATAAAGACAGTCACATACATGAAGGAAAAGCTGCGTGTAAATGAAAAACAAAATAAGGAATTTGTTTGCTGCTTTCCATTGTCAGATTACTTCCTGGGAATCAGGGCCTCATTTTATGTAAGAGTAACTTTGGAAGACAAATGCCCTAACCACAAATGGCTTCATCTTCTCCCTCCTTTCCCTGGGCTTTTATTGTTGAGCGTGTCATAATATGATACAGAATTTCCTTTTGATCAGCTTGGGTCAGCTGTACTAGCTGTGTGTTCTCCTCCTGAACTCTTGCTTACCCCTGGCCTCCTTGCTGGATAAAATAGAAAAAAAGCATTGACGTTGTGCAGGAATAGCAGAAACACTGGTGTGTTACCAACCATGTTGTAGTTAAAAATCCAGAAGACAATATTATGTGGGTTGGTATGAAAAAAATTAACTCCGTCCCAGTCATGGCCAGTACAATCTTCATCCTTTATTTCATACAATTTGTATCATGCTTAGGTCTTACACCATCCAGTAGAAGACATTTTTCTGTTATTTTTCCTGTCATTGCTACTTTCCATTCACTTCGGTGCTTTTTGCTTTCTAGTGCTTTTTTTCATACCACTACTGCTGGTCCTCTTCTTCTCTTTGCCCATTGAAATCCTGCTTTTTATTATCTCCTGAATGAATCACACTGTTTCTTTCTCCAGATGAAACAGCAAAATAATTTAAAGCTCAGTCAAAACACAATGGGATTTCTAGAATGATATTTGGTGGCAGAATTGCCGTATGGAAACTTTTGCTGAATCCTTAATTTCAGAAATGTAGAGTATATCTAATGCTTGGGGATTACAATCAAGTTGCCTAGTTTAATGCTTAGGAGACATGAGTAATAGTGAGGAATGTAGTTAGATACCCAAGGACCCAGTTGTTGTAAAATTTAAATAGGTCAGTTGAAAGTCTGTAATGTGCAGGCCTTTGAGAGCAACTCAGATTGAGCAGTGTTTTCTGTAAGAACTTCCCCGGAAGTATCATAAACTTTCTGTCAAATTTCAAGTCCTCATTTCTGAAAATGTCAAATGTCTGAAGTTCTCAGTGAAAATACATCGCTGAGGAAGTAAAAAAAATAGGTGAAATGGTGAGTGGGTCTGTTTCTATGTGTCTGCATATTGATTCCCTATCTTGCTTTGGAAATAAGTCTGTACTGATTTTCCATCCTGAACACTTAAAAAGCAGAAAAAGACTAAAAAATAAGAAAACCCATTTGAGGTAAAGAGTCGTTATAAAAGATCTCAGCTGCATAGCTTAGTTCAGTGGACAAGTGAGTGACTAGAAACAGAGCCTTAGGTTGTCTGATGCTTCCACTTAACTACAGGCAGCAGTACCTGTTCTGCCTTCTATTCATACCACTGCTTCCTTCTCAAATCAGAAGGTATGATTTTTGCAAAGGATTTCTCTAGATGTTGAACATCTGTTAAATATGTGAGGTTTATAAAAATTTGCATTTGACAGATTTTCTTTTGCATCTGATGAACTCAAATACTTGTAAAATTATTTTTACAGCTGGAAATATCTGTGAATATCCCAGATGTGCAGGTGGCTACTGTTGCTGAAAGTCTTACTTGTTTTTCTATCCAACCAGTAGTACAGAGGGAAGAAGAAAGCACCTCAACAACTGTAAGAATGTCTTTCATTTGTTTCATTGGTCATACAAAGCTATTACAGCAGTTTCTTGTTGCCATGTCTGAATGTAGCTGTGTAGCTTTTTCGATTGGTACATGTAACACACAGATGTGAGGCATACCTGTGGGAAAACTGTGTTAGTAAATATTGTTAGCCTTAAAACCAGGGTAACTTGTGGGCACAGAATTTACATGTAAGCATTAAATAAAAATGAGGTAGTTTTATATAGAACTTTGATATTGTTTTTCTTTGTATTTAAGGAAACAATCATACATGAAAATCCAGATGTGGACAAAGGTAGATATGAAACAATCTTGCTTATGTATTTCCTGTTAACTTGCTACTGATATACACATTTCCCCCTTTCTTAAAATTTGTTTCCAAAGGTGCCACGATCTTGACTGAGAAGCTCAGCTGTGTCCTGCAGTGGGTCAGCTGGAACTGGCTGTGTCCAGGGCAGGCCCCCCCTGCTGGCAACACCTTGCCACCTGTATTCAGTACACCCTTAAAGGCAGTTGTGTTGCTGCTCAGTGTTTTAATATTAGTTCAGATTTGCTGGATGAGAATGGCTGCTTGCCTACAAGCATTTTGATTCATAAATAAGGTCAATTTAAAAAATACGTACTTCACTGTATTGGTGGTAGTGTCAAATACTTTTTGAATATGTTAATGTTTCTAGTTAATGTGGTTGTAACTTTCAATGTGTGTGAAAGACTTCACAGGAATTAACGATGGAAGCACTGAAGCTGCCATGACTTTACTTGCCATGGGTGATCCAAATTTCCAGTTAAAAACAAGCACTGAAGGTATGATCTGATTTATGGGACAAAGCCTTGCTCGCATGCTTTCTGGGTCCACCTAAGGAGGGATGGAGCAGTGGCTGCAGAGCTCTTCCACGTGCTGCTGCATAGCAGGAGGTCAAGAGCCTTTCATGCTTTTAGTCCTATGCATTGTAACGCATAATGAGTCCAGCCAATGCAGGTTGGCTGGAAACAGGCAGGCGCCCTACTGAGTACTGCCAATGGTATCACTGCTAGAGAGTTGTTTTTGTTGCCTTTAGGATACACATGTTTAAATTGATCTGGGCACATAAACTGGATGAAAGAAAGGGCTCAAGCTTAAATGACTGTAACTTTCAATGATCTTTTCAGACCTTTAATGTTAAGCATAGCCTTTTCATCCTAACTAGCTACAACCTGAAATTACCTGGGTTTGTTACAGATTTTGTTTACCATTTCTTAATCTGCTTTCATTTGCTGAATGTTACTTTTTGTGTTCTTACTACAAAAAAGTATTCTCTTAGGATTGTGTTTATCTGGGATTTCAATCCGTGTCTTTGGAGAATAGAAACTTTGTTAAACGAGGCTTGAAGTTATATAGCTTTTTATACATGCCAAACCCGAGTGTTTTAAATGAAATTTTCTATTCTGTTTATTGTTATAACCAGAACAGACACGTATATTACCTGCTCAAGATGACTTGGACATGGCTCATAGCCTTGTAAATCATGCCTACTCCAAAGAATATAGAACTTCTAGTCAGTATTCGCTTTCTTCAGACACTTCAGTCAAGGAATTGCTGCCTTCTGAGGATGGAAACAACATCAATGTAGAGCATCAAATCACTGGCACAAGAACAGGGATAGAAGAATATTCAGAGATGGATGCTACTGATACCAGGTTGAATTACTATTTCATTTTGTTTAGTGAGAGAGATCCTCTGGCACTGCTTACTTTTGCTAGGTTCTTTCTGGCATTTTTATCAATTTGCAAGCAGTCTTGCTTAAGTAAAGGTTTCTCAGTTGATGTAATGTAGTATGTAATATGCAGAAACTCCTCTCATCTCTTTCTTACTACTTTCATGAAGTGTTTGTGTGTAATTTTGGGTATCTACACTGTTTTTTCTCTCATGAAATTAGGTTTACTCGGGGAAGAGGGGGAGAAAAAAATATGCAAACTAATTATGTACTGGATCACTCTTAATTATCAAGCTCTTTCTTGCAAAGTTCTCTACAGCTGCTCAGACCAAGGCAAATTGCTTAATTGTCACTGCTGCTGCAGGGGTGTAGATCAAAGATTTAGAGCAAAGGGATTGCAAGAAACCAGTTGATCTTCCATCATTATGATTTGAATGAATGATCATTAATAATTTTTGCATTTGTGAATTACTAGACAGCTTAGTGGGACACTTTCCCAGAGAAACATCTGCTGATTATCATGATTTATTTGAGAAACTTATTTAACTTGTTGACTGCTTGAACAAAGTATGAGATTATGCTCTTTGAAAAATGTTAATCCAAGATAATTTATTTTGCATCCAGTTTAATTATATTATTTTTCTTTGTATTACTTTTATTTATTATTTTCTTTGTATTACCAGAACTTACTACCGTGTCATATGTATTAGATTTCTGATCTTCTCCTGTTATTTAAACATATACATTTTTCTCTTTTTTTTTTTTAAATTCCTTTACATTAGAAACATACTAGTTTGCAGCATACTAGTCTGTTTCAATTCGCAGAAGACTTTTTTTTTTATCTTGCCGGGTAGTTTTCTGTCTTCTCTGCCAGTTGTAGCCTGCATTTCAGGTCTTCATTGTTTGATCTACCCCATATCTTTTATATCTTCTCTATACTAACTGTCAAAAATCAGGGACTCTGTTGATGACATCTTTCCTTTTACTTGTAGTGGTAGCTCTTTGCCTGTGGTGAGTAGTATGAGACTGACAGGAGGTGGACACCTGGAGCCTGAGCCAACCTCTGCAATATTGAGGTCCAGTGAAAACATAATGCAGGAGATATTTAATGCAAATATACTTGTGGAACAACTAGAGGAAATTCAATCTGGTAAGCCTGTTTCTTGTCCTAGGGCTCTGAAAATGGTTATTCAATAGATTCACATCTGTTGATGAAATGAAACAAAGCTGAAAGTTTTCACTTTCCATTCACATTTACAGGTGAAACATCGCCATTGTAAGATAGGGTACCCATTTGTGATATCGTTTTATACATGAGAATACCTTTCAGTATGAAATTTAATGACATTTGAATGGCAGGTTTTTTCTGCAGGTATTAAAATACTTGTAAGGCACTTAAATTACTGGACTGCCAATTACAGATTGGCAGAATCTGTAACTATACAAATACAGAAATACAGTCAAATCCACTGTACTTTTTTCTATTATCACTGTCTTTTCCTTCCATTTAAAGTGAAAGAGGAGATAGAAGGAACTGGTTTTCTATTCTTAAAGCAGTTGCAAAAAAGATAATCTTCAAACTCTTGTCTTCATGCCACTGGCAAAATACGAAAGGCAAGATGAGATATGTGTGTATATATACCTTATTTATGTAAGACACAATTATTCATGCGCATATTCGTGTATATGTGTCTGTATAAACATACTACAAAACTTTAATTCATACAAGATTATATATAAAAAGGAATACAGATATATATACCTGCAGACTGCAAAGACAATATTTTAATTTTTGTTCTTATAAAACTTAGATCCTACAACCTTGAGGGGTAATGCAGAAATGAAGAAGGTGGAACCAGAGCCAGCCAGACAAGCTGCAGGTGGTTCTTCAGTTCTTCATGACTTTGCATCTGGAAGTATGGAACTTAACAAGCAAGTAGACAAAATTGAGAGGTAAGAAGACTCATCATTTAATACTGACTTTATTCCTACTGTGTCTTATAATATGCAGCTGAAGTTCAGGTGTAGTATGTGACTGTAATGGAAAAAGTGTGCTCACAGACACTGTGTTTACACTGATAGTGTACAGTTGAGACTTCAGGTTTTTCTCCCTTACGTGTTCTGCTACAGCTTTTGGAGATAGAACATTAACTTTTGTTTGCTATTTTAGAACTTAGAAATTACCTTGCTGCTTAACTGTCTTTCATGAAACTGCAAGGAAATGTTAATGAGTTGATTAATTTAGAAATGTTAATGAGCTTATAAGGCTTCCTGCTTGGTTGTGCTTTCAAGTAGGAGTGTTTCCATTAGTGAAGTTACAGAGGCTTTTCTGTGAAATTCTTTATGTAGATTTGTTCAAAGATTATGCGTTCTGTTTAGTACAATGATGTAGTCTTTAAACAGGCGCTTTGTTTCCCTGTAATTACATATTATTCATATTAAATACATTGTAACACAGAATTTAGCATTTGCATAGGGTATCTTTATCTGGTTTCAAATTAACGAGATATATACCTTGCAGAACAGAAGAGCAGATAAGAGATGCATGTGGAAATTCAGGAGATTTAGGACATCTAACTGCATCACCAAAACCTGAAAAATCACACCTTGGACAAGAAGATTGTCCAAATCAAAGTTCTGTGGATGAACTGTCTGAGCAGAGTCCTTGTCCTCTTGAGCACCATATCTGTACAGTCAACTTTACTCAGGTAAAGAACAAGAACTTAATTACAGTCCAGAAGTGCCAAGATTTTGAAATTCTGTAAAGAGGTTTTCAATGCAAATATACTCACCAGTTGTAAACACTTGATACTTCAGTGGTAAATGAAACTTGCTTTTTCATAGGGGCATATCCAAACAATCTTTCAGACAAACTTAATCTTTGCGAACTCTCTTTAGAATGTTTCAGTAATAAGTAATACACATTAGCAAAACTGGGAGGAATTTTTAAGAAGTCCTGATGGAAGAAGTTACCTAAGATTCTTGTATCCATTCAGTGTGACTGACCTCTTACTGCTATGTTTGTTTACACTAAAATGAAGTTAAAGTGTTACTGCTTGGATGGAGCAAAGCAAACTGAATTCTTCGTTATGTTCTTTCTCATTTATTAAAAAAAACGATTAAACAATTAAGAGCTTTACATGCATGATTATATGACATACATGAATTTTGCATATTTTTACATATATCTATATCATTTATATTATCATCATTTATGTTGTCACAGGTAAACAATATGTCTTGCACATCCATTTCTTTGCAGTGGCTTGTGGGTCCATGTTCTAGTATAAATGAGAGTTACCTTATTTTTGTCATGAGAGACAGGTTCATTCACAGTTCCCCAGGGTTTCTAGTGTTGTGTGAGATCAGTGAGCATGTAGTTACATTGGAACAGCTGATGCATAGTAGCTTGTTTCCTGAGTGCAGCAGGTTGCTGTGTCAAGGCTGATTTCATATAAGGACAATGTGCAAAAATGATGTTGCTCTTACAGGCCTGGCAGAGAGAGTATGAGAAAAGGCAGCTTGTGGTAGAGCTGGTTCAATTAATTCCTGGTTTTAGTAAAGGGACAAGCTGTAGAAGGGAAGGGATAGATGAGCTTTAGAGGTTAATGTTTTTATTTGGCACTCAGTGGTTTGTTAAGGGTTGTAGGAATCTGCTTTCTTAGTGCCACTGAACAATTTATTGTGTGAGTCATCTCTGACAGAATTGTGATGTAGGAAGTATAAATTTATTTTGACAAACTATTAATATAGACAACAAGCTGCATATAAATTTTATATTTCCCCAGTGTTTCTTGTCCTTGTTAGACTAATACTCTTCAGCCTAGAACAGCTAGAAGTGAAAACTAATAAATGAAATAATGATGATGTGATTGGAGTTTTTGGATCTTCAGCATTTGACATGCTTTGTTTCTTCCTGTTTCCTAGAGTAATTTTCCAGATTTATTAATTTCAACTGTGTTGTTTTATTTCAACTGTGTTATTTCTAGAATGAAGCTTGTACTCAGGATGCTCAACGACATTGCATAAGCAGCAGAGAAGAAACTTCAGGTATAATGTGCTAATATTCAAAGTTAGCAAAAGCCCACATTTGTTTATCTTGTGCTTACTAAAAGATGAATTACAACCCTGAAATTTTCATTTTTAAAAAATTTAATTTTTCATTGATTATAATCAATCTATTCTATTAACACAAATTATGATCCACAGCATAATGATATTCCCCTCCCTAACCTCTTGTCTTTACATTTCATTAATAGAAACTAGACTTAAGAACTATTTGAATAGCCCTTCATTAAGTTTAAGTGGAAGGGAAACTTGCTGTCTTTGCCCTGTTGAGAGCTCCTGCTGCTTACCCTGTGGTAGGTATAGTATATAGTTTTTAGAGTCCTTTTTGCACCTCTGACTCACCCAACAAAAACTGAACATGACAGAGGGTGAGAAACTCTGTAGTTTTCCACTGGCTTAGTGAGCTGTAGTTGCTCATGAACTTACCGAGTGATTGCTGTTGTCAGAGTTCTGTGAGTAGGAGGGCTGTACTGTGCAAGTGTGGAGCAGAGGGAAAGAAGAAGAATGGACGTGTAAAACAATCAAACTTCCTTCTTTAGCTGTACTGAGTCAACAGATTGATGCTTAACTGATCAAGTATGATGAAAGTTATGAAGGTGATGTCTGCTGTTCCCTAGAACAAATTGAAATGCTTGGTTTGGAACCACTACTTGTCTAACATAGGGGATAGTCACAGTGACGGAGGCTCAGAATACTTACTTTTAGTGGAAACTACAGTCCAAAGCTGTAACTCATGAGCTTCTGCAAAAGATAAGGCTGATACTTCTTCTTAGACATTTGTTGCTGTGCTGTATTATTGCCAGAATCTTGGGGTGAAACATCTTAAACTGTGTTTAATTAGATGAAGAATCCAAGCAAGCTGAGGTTGGAATAACAGCTTTACCTCATTGAGAGCTGTCTTAAATAATGGAGTACCATTGTTGTTTTCCATCTTTTGAAAACTTTACAAATGTTTGTTCCTTAAATTCTAATGGATGGCAGCTGGCAACTCTCTGTTAATATCTGTTTGTTGATTAAATTATCTCTGTTTTTCCTCTTAAATTCAAGACTATGCTTCTCAGATCCTGTTCTGCCAATCTGCAGTGAGGGGAAAAATCCTGTGCTTACCTTCAAAATAGTAGACATCTGCCATTTAAAGAAGTAATTCTTAATACCTGAGAGTTGCAATTAAAGACAGAGGGGCACTTGACCACCATGACATACGTTTAATTAAACTGCAGATTGCTCTTTAATGCTAGAACACCCTTTTAAAATCTTCATCATTACCAGGCATTTTTAATATTCCTCATTCTAAATGGTAATCAGGATTCCTCTGCAGTGAATAAGCACCAGGAGATGATGATGTGTATCTTATCAGGGAAGTCAGGAAGCTTATTGTCTCAAGAATATGTCCAGTGTCTTTTTCCATGGAGAAATGAATGCCTAAAATTTCAGTACTCTGTGTAGGGAGGATATGAAGAGAACAGCATATTTTCATATTTGATTAATAGTTTTTTTGTTACTTATTTCTTTGAAAAAATTATAGTAGTGAATGATGATCATAGATGTCCAGAGGAAGAACAGACATTCATTTTAACATTGGTGGAAATCCCAGCTGGCTCAAAAGAGTTTGATGCATCTGCTATGGTGGAACAAACTTCAGAACCAGTACTACCAGCCCCAATACTTATCAGCCCTGTAAATGCAAGTGAAACAACTGTGACTGAAGTGGAGAGGTAAATGCTTTCTTTTTAATCAAAGTGAAACAGTTTTTGTGTACCTTGATTGTTCTCTGACTGTCTAGTACAGATTAGAACTTTCAAAAGAAGAAATGCAAGAGGAAGTAATTTTGACAGATGGCTAGAGAATTAAGAAAGTAAAAAGGGCTCTAATTCGATTTGAGGAAGATTCTATAGGTGTTTTAAATTTAGTGTTTTAGTTAGCTGAGATTTTGGTGTCATCTTAATTCCGATTTACCCTTTAGAGTAATTCTTCCTTTTTAGTAGAAGTCATTTGCCCATCTTGAGCTTTACTTTGCAATATGGATACTTAAAATGCAAAGCAATTGCAATGAAAAAATCTAAGCATGTTTGCATTTTACATTACTTCAACAGTTTCGTAGAGTATCTGTTTATTAATTGCTCGTCCAGATTATTCATGTAGATGGTTTTCTGGAAAACATGATAAACAGTAGATGTAAATTCTTATTGTCTTGAATTTACTATTTAAAAGGCAGACAAGGTGAAAACACAATTAATTACTCCAAAGAATAATAGCTGGTTTGTCTACTACAATCCAAAAGGGCTTGAATTTCTTTTACAAAGAGTACCTCTGAATGCAGTGTAACAAAATTTCTAGTTCAACATTACTGTTGAGGTAAATCTCTTAGTCCATTTGGGAGGGGAAAAAAAAAAAACAAAGGAAAAAGACATTATGAAAAATGGAACTGTTGCAAAGTAGTAAAAAACCCACAAACCCTAATACTGTACTAAGGAAAGTCCTCAGATCATAACTAGAATGTGATGCAATTACAGCTTTATCATATTTTCTAGTCTCTGCTGCTTTTCTGTATGTCTTATATATGTCTGTATGCTTTTGAGACCATACAGCATGTGGGGGTTCAACTGTGCAGATAAATAATACTGTATTTTTCCATACAGAAACTTTATACAAAGTAAATTTTGGCTTCTAGTACTGTCACAATAATGACTTTATATATCTATAAACAGTATTGGATCCTTGACAACTGCAGCTGGTAAGGTTGCTGGACCTTTGAACAGCAGTATGGAAACCAAACAACTAGAGAGTGGAGTAGACCCTGTTCCAAAGTTGCAGACAGCTCAAAAACAGTTGGCTGCTGAGCTTGAAGAGAATGCTCCTTCCAAGAAAACTCCATCTACTGTTACAGTGGAAAATAGCCTGGAAACCACTTACAAGGTGAGATCATAATTTGGTGAGTTTTCATCCATGGGGTAGATGCATAACACATAATAGAGCATTTTAATTATGTTTATTTTTTAATGGTGTTACTTGATTAAATATGTACTATATATGCCTATACAATTTAAAAGGAAAATCAACACCTATAGATGGCTTTTAGTTTTTAAATCTACAACAGGTTTTGGGTATTTGTTTATTTATTATTAGGGTTTTTTGAGAATCTGTAGGCTCTCAGGTGTTTTTGAGTTAGACTTCCTAGTAGACAGACTGGTAATATGTCTTACTTGGTTCATTCTGCATCACCCTTACGACAATGGCATTGCAGGAGAGGAAACTGTGGAGGTATATTGGATGACTGGCAGGATGTCTAGGTGCACTGAACGATGTTTTGAATCTGCATTGTGTCTGTTACATGAAGAAGCTGTTAGATAGATATGTTCCTATTGATTCTTAACATAGCAGGTACTAGTTTAAAAAGCAAGTTGCCAGTGAAAACAAGCCACTATCTTTCCAGTATCCTTTTGTGCTTTTTTACAATATGACCAAGCTTATGGCAGCAACCACCATTGATCTTTGTAAGTGGGCTAATATTGTATAGTGTACCTTGGTGTAGGAATGGGTGGTAATTCCCCAGGTGATTCAGAGAGCCTTTCTAGGAAGGGATGGATAACCATCTTCTTCCTTCTTTGATCTCTTATCTCAATATCCTTGTCTTGAGTAATTTGTCATAAGAACACCTTGAAAAACCTGCTTAGGAAATGCATTAAGTGATGAATGATGCTGCACTGTCCTACTGTATCAGTCCTGTGCTTAGAACTGTGCATGTGTCATATGAGTTTATCAACTTCATTGTCTTTTCTGTATTAAGAGCAATTAAAAAACTCTTTTTTTTCTCTCTTTTAAATACAGGGTTATTCAATTAAATCCCCAGATGTGCCAGTGGTAACTTCTGGTATGTACATGTAAACTGGCAAACCGAAGTATAATGAATATAAACACATCACAACTTAGTACTGGTTGTCATGCTAAATAATTCTTTCTGAGGCCATTTAACACAATAGTAGAAACAAGTTTTCCTGGTACTACACTAATACCACCATTCCATGCTTTCTGTTATAAACTAGGTGTACCGAATTACATAAATGTTGGTTATTTAATAATGGTTTTAAAAGCATTGCTGTAGCTAGTTTATTAGTGAAATTTGAGAGGTTTTTTTGACTAAATGTGTTATCGTCTCTCAAGCAAATATTTCCACCTGTTTAAGGAGCACAAATAATCAAAAGTATTAACTGGCGTTTTAAGCATGCAATGCCAAATTAGTTTGTTTTTATTTTGTTTTGCATTTTTACTGAAAAAGTACAGAATTGTTTAGGAGATCAGTCAGCCTCTGAAGAAACAGAGGAAAAGCAAAACTGCTGACAATGCAATCTTCATTGATCTGAGCCAGTGAAGGGCTTGGTGAGCTGTAATTTTGGCTCTGAAAAAAACCTCTGAGGGAAGCTGTAGAAGGTTAAACGGCTAGGTGACTAGACTGAGTTCTGTGGCATGCTAATAAAGGATGGGGGAAGGGGGAAGAGTGTGCTATAACTTCTACCAGCTTCTTCCTATAACATCCATATGGTCTTAAAGGCTTTAAAAGTAGACCAGGAACTTTTAATTCATAGTGGTGACTCATACAAATAAATGGACAAATAAAACTACACAAAAATTCAGCCCTTCTGCTGTAATGGTTCAAACCATTTTAATATAATGCATTTTTTGGGCTCTTGTGTTATCATGGAAGTCTTTGACCCTCAACTTCTTTTACAGGGAATCTTTTCCAAAAAACAGAGTCCTCAGCAAAGGAAAAAGTACTTACTTCTGTATTGGTGTCTGAGTCTATCTCACAACTGGCTGAGAAAAGCCAGCTTGAGACTTTGGAGAGCTTAGGGAAAGCACCACTTGAGAATGCAGCATCTGAAATGGAAGAGGATGTTATGTCTAGATTAACCTCTAACAGAAGAGCAGAAATAAGTGGACAAGGAAAGCAAGAGAATGTGCATGAATCTGCACAGTTGGAGCAAACTAGAAGCCCAGCATCCTCTTCAAAAACTCCATTACTCAGGTATGGAGTAATTCCAATAATGTTTTGTCAGCTTGTTCTGTAAAAAAAGATCATGTTTCTATGTTGACATCTTTTCAGTACCATTGTTTGTGACCAGCATGGCTAAGAGTTACAGTTTCTATTATCTCCTGCAAATCAGAAAGCATCAAACTGTCTGCTTTGAAATTTGCATTATTTTACTCATTAAATGAGTAGATCAGCTGAAGGGCACTACTGACATATTGTGTGTGTGTATATTTAGACATGATAGATGCCTTTTGTCAGGCAGGCATCCATTGGCTGTGATAGGAACTTAAGATAATTTGTTCTTTTCTATAGCTAAGTCTCATGTTGTGTCATGTATACCCATCCATTTGTTTGGATGTTCATCCTGCTAGTAAGATTTGTTACTGAATTTTTAGCGCTGACATAAGTAATTTCCCCAAAGAAGTTTCAGTCTTGGCAGCTCAGAGGATATTCCTCTTACCTATATGTTGACTTGATTTTTAAAACATACCTTTCTGTACTGTTTATTTAAATGTTTTGAGTTCATGTTCTCTGTTGCTCCTGTACTTAATTATTTTGATTGTGATGCTCCGCTGGCTTCTTCTAATCTGGCATTTACTTTTTCATTATGCTTGTGTGAGTACCAACATTATGTATTTATATTTGGGACATCCACAGCAATTGGATAGTGATGCATTAACATCAGAATCCTTGCCTTAAAGTTTACTTCTCTAATTTGTAATCTCTTAACAACATGAAAAGTTAATGCTTTGTGTGTGACTCACATAAGCTCAGTGCTGTGACTTCCATAAGCTCACTGGTCTGGGTTTACTGCTGTAATTAGGCTAAAATCCTGCAGCAGATAGTCTGCGGTAGCCCCATTCTTGGGGATCAGGTTTTCCATTGATTACATGAAGGATGCTCAGAATTTTCAGTTTGTTCTTCAGAAGTGTGCCTCCATCCTTCTTGGAGCCACTCTCCGAAAGTCTGGTAGCTTGTTACGAGCTGTGGAGTAACAGCAAATAATAGGTTCCTGTTCCCAGGCTTAAAAATTGTCAAGAATCTCTGTGACTAGACATAAAAACTCTTGTACCAGAATATTCAGTAATACCAAAGCCTTTCTCAGAATGACTTTTTGGTTTTTTTCCTTAGAATTTTCATATGTCCTGTAGGTGTGTGTTTATTTCCTGTGTATAGAACTGGACTCCTGCAATGCTATATACATCTTCCTTTTATCGAGCAATCCTATGACATCCTGACCATATTTGTTTTGAACAGGGGTGGACGAAAACCATTGGGATTTTTATCTTTAATTTGCAAAAAAAGTAATTCTGAATCTGCAGAAGACACCAAAGGGAATAGAGGGAAGATCCAAAAGCCACGAATTGTGACTCCAAAACGAAGTCTAAAGAAACCCACTCCGTCCACTAAGGATGAGAGGGAATCTTGTTCCTTTCCCTCTACTTCATCATCTGTAGAACATGAACATGTAGCTGCTGATGCTACAGTTACGGTATGAGTTTACTTTTGAATAACCATGCATTTCTGAGGTGTGAAGAACAGAGAATTAGTTGTTTCAGGAGTGAGTAGATGGGTGTGTAGCATTCATGTTTTGAGTCCAGTATCTGTTCCAGTTGACAAGATTCTGACTTGTGCATGTTTAGGAAACTTGCAGGGGAACTAAGGTGATTTTTGTCTGCATGGATATCTATTTATTTCTCATTTTCAGTAAACTCTGATTTTTTCCCCCTTTGGTCAAAACTTCCTACATAAATAAAATACCCTTACAAATAGATCATGTGCATATATATGTAAATATATTTACACATACACACTGATGAAGACTGTTAAGAGCAACCTTTTCTTGTTTTATCAGGTTCCAAGTAACAACTCACCTGAGAAGCCCCCTCTCTGTGCTAAAGATCAAGAGAAGGAAGGAGAACCAACCAAAATCTCTGAGTACTTTTTCAGTGACATCTTTATGGAAGTGGATGATTCAGAATAGCAAAGGGTTTCATAAAAACCTAGGATCACAGAATATACTGCAGCAAGAAAAGAGTATTTTAAAAGTTACAATTCATTCTGATATTCATTATGCCACACTTATTGTCAGCCAGTAATAACAGTAGCAGATAAAATATCAGGAAAGTGATCTCTTTAACATTCAGGGGAAACTGAACATTCTCCGAAAGTGATGTAACAGATTCAAAGCGGAAGATGGAAAGCAAAGGCTGAAAAGCCTCATCTCCTGCTGCTCCTTTAACAAACTGGGTGCGATTACTAATAAACCCCAAAACATGCGACTGGAACTGGGATGCGGGGTCGGACAAAGAAACCATAAACCAAACGTCTTGAACAAGCTCCTCTACCTTTGGAAACTCCCTGTAAACTATTATCACTGAGCCCAGCACAATAGCAACTCAAATCTGTGCCCCTTCACTGTAAAAGCTACGTGTTAGGCACAATACTGGATCTATCTCCAGATAAGAAAGTATGCCTAGGGACCAGAAAGGTATTAAACCCTTAAAACAGCCTAGGGACCAGAGACAGGTGAAGGCCTCCATCCAGAGAGAGATGAATTCAATCAACATGGCTACTGACTGCTTTATCTCAATGCAGAGTAAGTAGAACCAAAATGCAATCAGTACAGGATTTTTCCCTTTCTCAAACCACATGTTGGGCACTAAAAAAAATGTATTTGTCCTGGTTTAGGGCAAATTTGAGAGGAAATTTTCAGAGGGGTCCCTCTAGAAAGCAGATTCAAGTGGCCCCTTCCCCAACTGGTTTGGAAAGATTTTCTTGGAGAAAAGTGGAAAAAATCCTGTTTATTTAACAAGCAAAGTATTCACAAGCATAAAAAAATGAACAATACTAAATAATAACACCTGTTGCTGTTCTGAAGAGATGGCAAATTAAGAAAGTCCTTTCCTTGGAGTGTAACTCAGCTCACTCAGTCTATTACCAGTTCCTCCTGTGCTGGAAAATGCTGTGTCCTGGGCTTCAGTGGGCCACAGGTGTGAGGTGCCCATGTTTTTCTGGGTTTTCAGTCCAGAAGAAGGCTGATCAGTTCCCAAAAAAAAGAAAAGCCACAGTCCAGGGAACTTCTCTGCCTCAGCTAGCTAAAACCTAACTAAAAACAAAGGAAAGCTCTCACCTGCCATCCGTCTGTTCTGGAGGCAACACAGTCTGCGAGAGAGAATGCAGAGGAGCAAGTGCAGCTTCTGATAACAAGCTCTGCACTTCTTCTCTTCCCCTTTGCTCTCGGAACCAGTCTTAAAGGTGCAAAACTTAATATCCAGCATAAACAGAACAGATGATTTGGGATACAAGCATCATAAAGTCACCCTAGGACACGTTAATTAGTGCTGTGAAGATGAAGTGGATTCTTTCTGAAGCAACCCAGGAACTTTCAAAATGCTGACATAGTCTAAACCACTACAATGATGTCATAGCACCAGACTACTTACTGACTGCCAGCTTATGGTTTCACTTGTTTAGACACTGATAGTGAGTGCATGACTATACTACAGAAAAGTGCAATGAAATAATGTTTAATCTCGCAACAAGTATCCTTTTCCATTTTAATGCTAAAGCTTCTTAGTACTGACTATTCAAGTTCTTTACTTCTTTTTGTGAAGTATGTTACATTAGAAGGAGGAATTAACCTTTTGGGTATAATGTAATATCTGAAGATCAGAAGGCAAATACTGGAAGTGATGTAGTAAATACATACATACATATGTCAAGCACTTCAGGTGCTTTTGTTTGAATCTCCAAATTACACATTTTTGTAAGAGTTTTTTAACCACATAGTTTAAAAGATTGTAGCATGAAAAGCCCAGTAGGATTGGTTCCTTAAAAATTTGTTGAAAACTTAAAAATGCAATTTACTAAAAGATGATAACAAAAGGTTAATGTTTGCAACCTTTTTTATCACTTGCAGGAGGAGATTGATGTTTCCTAGTATAAATGCTAATTTTCTTCTAAATTGGAAAACAAAGCTATAGATACAATTTCTTCTCCCTATTTTTATGTGTAGTTGTTTGTATATTTACTGACTTCCTCAGTTTCCGTTGTGCAAAGTAGCACAAAGAGATTGGATTAAACCATGATTATATAATGTCACTTTTGAGGATTTGCTGCTTTGAAGCACTTGAATTAAAAGGGTTTTCTTATGTGCATGTCTGCTTGTACTGTAACTTGTCATAAAATTCTGATTTAGCTTTAGATTTTAGTTTAAGTTTTTATTTACCTCATCAAGAAATTTGTCTGGGTGAGGTAATTAGGTTTATGCACTCTGGTTGCTGAAAGAGTCAATATTTAGTCTGAAACTCCTGCTTGCAGTAGTAGCTTGAGTAGTCTTAAAATTTTTCCCATTAATTAATACTTGCAGGTACTTTTTCAAAGCAATTTATTATGAAGGTTAAACTGATGTTTAAGTGGTGTTGTTAATGCTCTCAAGAAACCTATCATCAGGTTTGGACTGGGTAATCCTTTACTGGCAGGTAAATAATACAAATATGTAGTTAATTTTGAAATAGTCAATGAAGTTTGAGAATGTTTTTCTTTTCAGAAGTTGTTGGCAAAGCTTCTGAAGGAACCTTTAAACTATTGTCAAAGAGGAGAAATACAGAAGAAAGCTAATGTTACTGCAAATTGGTATATTAGCTCTGCCAGTGAAATGTCACTAGCAGCAGTATTCCTTGAGGTGATGGAAAAGGGACTAGTGGTCTCAGTGTAGAGTAACTTACTTGAAAGCATCTGATCAACCCACTTCACCCCCCAAAAAACCCTCAAAAATACAACCACAGTTTCTGTTCAGATGGTATCTTGTGCTTTGCCTAATCCGTTTAACTTGAAATGTTTATCTAAGTTTTGTTCTACTGTAAACATTATGAAAGAGATTCATGTATACATGTAACTCTATGTATTGTATATCTTGTAGATATTAAGTATGCAAGTGTTTACTTCCTGATATGTCTGGCATGTTTATATCAATTGCACTCATAGAGCCTAAAAATAGATTCTTGGGGGAGTGGCTATGAAATAATTGCTGTGAGTACCTTTTGAGTGAGTTCTGAGGGGATAATCATTCTATATTCAGTTGCATACATTTTAGCTTGCATTCATGTTATAAGGGGGAAAAAATCAACTACTTCATTACTAAGATTTATGGTGCCTTATCTGCATTGTTAATTGGGGCTATGCTTTCTTTTTTCTTGCAGCAAATAACATGCACTTTGATAGAGAATTTTTTTTTTAAGAACAAATTTAATTTGAATAGAAATAAGAGAATTTTGTGTTTTGTGTATGGAAGTTTTATAATGATGAAGGATGTAAGAAGATACCATTGAAATCTCAATATGTATGTGTAGCATTTTTACAAAGATGTGGCATAAAACTGTTTTGCTTAGAGTTGTCTAACGCCTTGTATCATCACATACAAGCTTTCTGTGTCAAAGGAAGTAGTCCTATTCTTTATGTAAATTATGTGAATAAATTATTTTCTTTTACCTGTGTTGCTGTTTATCTAAGTTTCAAATGCAGTTTTTAAATACTTAGAAGTCCACAAAGCTAATAAGTGTGAACTAAAGGAAAAGCTGAAGTTTGGGCTGCACCATTGGGGTGCGCACAGACCTGCTAGTAACAGGCTGAGCATGGTTCAGGAGGAGGATCGTCGTTGTTCCCTGGTTTTGTTTTAAGAGTAGAGCTTAATTTACTTGGTATCAGACTCCCTGCTGTTACCTTTCTCTAAAGATAAGGGCCTTGACTTGAAATAAAACTGGAATACTGAAGAATAGCAAAGTTTTCACAGAAGGGAGAAACTCGGACAAAGATGGTTGGATTTTAAAAAGATTATCCCTATTACTGTACGACAAGTTTCTAAGAAGGGCAAGGGCTTTCCTAGCCTGTGCGTGAAAACAGTTTTCACGTGTGCGCGTCCCAACACACCTCTTCCAAAGGGTGTTCTACAGCATTAGTTTGTCCAGGGGCCTGGGCTGGGATTCCGCGGCCGGGCCGGCCCCGCTGTGCCCATTGGCTGCGCCGGGGGGAGTGGCGGCGGCGGCGGCCTGGGACGTCTGCCTCGGCTCGGCTTGCTCGGCCCGGCTTGCTCGGCCCGGCCTGGCCCAGCCCGGCCATGCTGCTGGGTGCCCCGCGGCTCTCGGGCCGCTGCCTTGGGCTGCTGCGCCCGCTGCTTGCCCGCGGGTACCGCGGCGACGCTGTGGCGGCCGTGGGGTCGCCCCCTGACGCAAGCTCCGCGCTCTACCAGGTAGGGCGGCGGGGGTTGCAGGGCCCGGGCGGGCCGCGGGGCGGGGCGGGCCGCAGCAATGCCGTGGAGGAGTCGTTGCGGCCGGGGCGTGAGGGACGTGGCGGGCACGTGTCCGCGCACGGTCCCGGCCCCGGCCCCGGTGCCGCCCTGCGGAGCAGCGGGGGCAGCGCCGCGCCCCGAGCGCCCAGGCCTGTCAGCTTCTGCGGGCCGAGCTCACGCATACCGTGTGAAAAAAAGGCGGGTTAGTGCAGTCGTCTGGCTCATGAATATTTTTGCCCTTTTAAATGGGGATGCCAGCTCTTGCTGCGTTTCAGGCTGATCGATACTGTGCTAGTGAGGTGGAGGCAGGGTTTGTAGACAGTGGAAGATGGAGTCTGATGATTTCAAAGTTGCATGTTTTTGTGTTTACAAATTGATTCCCGAGTTGAAAACAGCTGAAATAGCTGTACAGAGCCATGGACTTGCATCCAAAAGCATCATCTTTTGAGGAGGAGAGCTAGGTGTAATTCCAGTTGTCTTTACGAAGAGAGCAGTACTTCCCTCTGGTATAAATACATTTATTTTTAATGGGGCATTATTAACGCCATCATATTCAAAAATCGTGTTTACAGTTAGTCTGAGAAAAACATGGCTTTAGGTATGAATCGAGGCTGATAGGAGGGCATGTGTTTGTTTTCGTATTTGTTCATGTAAAATACAAAACTGTGTGAAGAAACAGCATGTACTCTTAATGAGATAGGTCCATTGGTTCTGTGTTTGGTTCTGTGCTTTGTTTTGCAGAAACTAAATTTGGGACAGAAATTAGGTGGCTGAAGCTTCTCTGTAATGTCAGAATTTGTCCATATGCATATATATATATATATATGTATATACATACAAAGCTTGTGTATGTGAAGTGTGTCTATATATGTGCACATATTCATATTTTGTGTACCAAAAAATGATAGTATTTTAATAAAGGTGTTCACTTATCTGAGCTGCCCCCTGATTTGCCCTTATGTCTGGGTTCCTTTCAACCTCAAAAGAGAAGCAAGGCTTGGTAAAATAGCTGATAGTGTTAGTATTTGGTAGAAATAATTTATGGAACACGCTCAAGTGCAAGCACTGCTTTACAAACACAAAGAGGCACTTCACCACCTGAAAAAAAAGTAATACAAGGAATAACAGCACAAACACAAGAAGACATTATGATAGGTGATGAGGGTCTTGCCTTCCTTGGCTGCTGTTTACCTTTCTGGCTGTGAATTCAACTAGACAGGCTGGCCTTGATGATGCAAACTGCCCCTTGAACCAGATAGGCAGTAATGTAATTTAAAGGTGAGTGAGTCTAAATTCTGGAAAATGAAACAAAGTCTCTTTGAAGGTTCCAGGCACTAGCTCTTACATGCACTGTGGTGATGTAGCAATAATTCATGTAGCTTGTGCAGTCACTGTTGGATTCGTGTTTAGAGTTTGCCTCTTAATTTTGCATTGAAATTTGTAGAAATCCTCATATTAACAACAGAATTTCACTCAGTGTGCTGGTGCAAGGACCACTTTCCAGAAAGAACTTGATGCCAGTTCACTGACCTTTTTTTCATTATTTAATGACCATAATGAAAAGCTCACAAATACATGGTAAAACTAGCATGTTTATTTCTGAGAGTAGTCTTTTCTGTGTGTATTCAGAATTATTTTAATACATCCTTATTTCTCTTTGGTAAAGTATAATGGTGTTCTATTCTGGTTTAAGGCATGAAAGATTGTGATAGAAGTTGGATGAGTTTAAGCAACTCTGATGGTTTTGCGCAGTATTTTTTACAGTTTATCTAAAAAGTCCTTTCGCAGTTTTCAGGTAGAGTAGCTAAACTAGCTACAGTGAGTCAAAATCTAATGAGAAAGGTTATGACTGTGATTACTGTTCCTCTGTTAACATCCTCTGCCATTTTTCCTGCTTTTTTTGGTTTTTTCCTATGTTAAAGGTGAGTTTCTAAGCACAGTATTGTGTGCAAAAGGAGAATGTGTTTAGAGAAAAAAGACTGAACAAGGAGAAACAGGAAAAATTTTTGGTGTGTAAAGGTGCAAAATGACCCAGGTGGACAAGCTGAACACTGATGTAAAGTAATATTGGGTGTTGTGACAACTCCAGATTTCTAAAAGTATGGAATTACAAGATACATTTTTACCTTTCAAGAGAGTCTGTTTAATCTATTTGTGGCAATTACAAAGGCAGAAAAATAATGTTGTTTTGAATGTCACTCTACAGTCAAAGCACTTCAAATGTGAGCTGAATCTGTTCATGTTTTTATTTTATTTCTGCTTTGTTTCTTTACCTTTCAATGCCTAAGTGAACAAACTCAACTGCAACATTTGCAGCATCTTCCTAAAGGAAACTATAAGTGTGTGTGTTCAAGTATATATGAGAGTTATAGAGAGTTAACATGGATTTACCAGCTGGTTTTTTTTCTGTGAAAGTAGGCTCAAACATCATATAAATGAGAATTAGACAAGGCAATCAGATGTTTTTGTGCAGCATGTTCTTTTATTGCAGTTGCATTTTTCAAAAAGGTAGTAAAGTTCTTAATGTGTTGGCAAAAAAACCCTAACAAATTAAGCTTGACTAATACCTTCAAATTCCTAAGAAACTGTAAAAAAATCCCACCTTGCTGTAATGTGCACATGGAGTTTTGGATAATTTGAATGAAAATGGTGAGCTCAGTACTGATTCACTCATATTCAGATTTTGAATCTTTGTTTTTCTAGAAGTATGATAGCAAGAACAACAGCTTAAAAAAAAAAACAAAAAACCAAACACAACCAAACCAAGACAAAACAAAGCAAAACCAACTTTTGTTTTATCTTGTTTTTCAACCTAGACAACAAGAATCTAAAAAGTGTTTACCAAAATCTATTTGATCTAGGTCATTCATCCTTTGGTACAAGTAATAAGGACACTTAATTCAAATCTGTGGTTTTTACAAAGTTAGATTCAAAATGCAAACAAACCTATGCCAAAGATAAACAAAATCTAAGAAACAGCACTTCAACTCTATAGTAACTAGTTTATTTTAGTTTATTAATTTCAGAACTAGTCTTTTCCTATCCTAACACAATAAGATTTTATTGTATAACATTTTGATTAAATGCTTTGGGATGCTTGAGAGAGGCTAGTTCTAGGGTAGAAATGTTACTACTTTAAAGACAATACAGAGACAGTATTTAGTAAGGGAAAATTAGATTTGGAAGAGAAATTAGTCTTGTACTTCTTATGTTTGTTTATTAAAAAATTAAATATAGTCACCCTGGGTTGAATTTAAAATTCTGTTTTGCTCTCCACTTAGGAGAACTATGAACGAATGAAGGCACTGGTAACTGAGCTACAAGAACAAGCAGAAAAAATCAGGTTAGGTAAGTATGAAGGTCTAGATTTTAGAATAATAACCCGGTGCTTGGGCTTGTTGAACCTCAAAGAGTTGGCCTTGCCTATTGATCCAGCCTGCCCAGATCCCACTGCAGAGCCTTCCTGCCCTGCAGCAGGTCAACACTCCCATCCAGCCTGGTATCATCTGGGAAATTACTGAGGATTCACTCAATCCTCTGTCCACATTGTTGTTAAACTTATTAAACAGGACTGGATCCCAAACCAAGCCCTGGGGAACCCCACTAGTTACACGAGCTGGATGTAACTCCAGCCAGAGACAGGGCCCAGCTGTCCAGACAGGGCCTTTTACCCAGCCAAGAGTGCACCAATCCAAGCCATGAACAGCCAGTTTCTCCAGGAGAAAGCTGTGGGAAATGGTGTCAAAGGCTTTGCCAAAGTTCACAGAGACAACATCCACCGCCTCCCTCATCCACTAAGTGGGTCATCCTGTTATAGAAGGAGATCAGGTTGGTCAGCCAGGGCCTGCCTTCCCTAAACCTGTGCTGGCTGGGCCTGATCCCCTGGTTGTCCTGTGTGTGCTGCATAATGGCCCTCAATGTGATTTGTTCCATTTGTTCCCCTGGCACCAGTGTCAGACTGACAGTTCCCTGGATTGTCTCTCCAGCCCTTGCTGGCAGTGGGTGTCTAGACTAACTTCTGGTCACCTGGGACCTTCCTCTTTAGCCACACCTGCTGGCAAATAATTGAAAATTACTCAGTGACTCCACCAGCTCCCTCAGTACCCTTGGGTGGATCACATTTGCCCCCATAAACTTGTGTGTGTTTAAGTAGTGTTGCAGGTCACTGCCAGTTCTCCTTGGATTAAAGGAGCTTCAGTTTGC